CCGTAGTAGTACCAGGAGTGAGGTTCACTACTAGTTGATCGTCTTGGTTCTTCTGAATCTTGTCACGCATCTTTTCAATAAAATCTGCAGCTCTCTGATTAACATCGCCTCCAGCGTCGCGCTTACTCTTCTCACTCACATACGATGATTGAGTACTAGTACTTGCAGCAGTAGCAGCAGTAGTAGTGCTAGTATTCTGATTTGTGCTTGGTACCTGCATCACGATGGAGGACGGCTTTGATTCATTTTCTGGTTCCTGGGATCTTTTCGGCTGGCTCCTGGAACTGTGATGAGTCTGATGACCAGGGACGTCTACTTAGGTAACTTTAGCACCAGCAGCTGCTGGCTCCGGTGGCTGCTGAATCTTGATCCTGGTTGTTCCAAGATTGATATTGCCTAGAGAGAGAGATGAAAGTTTAATGATGTTTGCCACCAAAATCATCGATTTCTCGCACAGAGATTTCTTCTTGCGACTAGTACTACTGCCCTTGTGTTTCATAGCTTCCCAAATTTGAGCAAACAAGCAACCAGTGAACTAGGGTTTAGGAGCTGTATGAATATATCTCATTGCATTTATAAAGGAGCTGTATGAAATCGATCGGGAAAAAGATGAGAAAAATAAATTAAAGAACTAAAAAGGAAGCAAATTAAGTCAAATTGTTCAGTTCTGTGGGGTTCCTGAAGAAACCAACTAGACGATGATCAAACTAGTAAGGACTTCACTACTATGCGAAACTTCAATTTTTATTATTTACTGTTTGGCAAATATTCCCATGTGTTTTGTGTTGTAACTTGTAAGGATCTAAAATTCCCGTTTTTTTTTTTTTTTAAGAGTTTTAATGAACACTTATAGTATTATTCATTTTTAACGAAAATGATATTTTTACTCTAAAAAGTCACTTCTGGTACTATTCACTTACAACATATTTTTGTCATTTGATTAAGACTCAAGGTTTTCAAATCATTTTCATTAATTTTTTTTCTTTGTTTTTATATATAATTGTTTTCGTGTAATGAGATGGGAGTGGATACCAACTTTATCTCCATTTTGAATGTACTTGGCAAAAGATGAAAATGAGAATTAGATTCTAACCTTATATATGAGTATGCTCGAGCTGTCTTAGTCTTTAAGAAATAATATTGAGAATGATCAGGAATTCGTGTAAGACAGACATGTGAAATATGGTTATCAGAGCAAACTTTATTTTAGGGACAAGATTCGTCTCCAACAAATGTTTAGCTTCAACTGGCTTTGATACCACGTGTTGTAGTCAATGAGTTACTTAATTATCAGTAGGAGTACGTAATTAGTCTGCGTTTGGTCATTGCTCTTGCAAGACACGTAAAGTAAACAGATTATAGAAACTTTAGGAGCAAGATTCGTCCCCAATGATTTTATCCACATTTTCAAAGCAATTGGTTTCCCTCATTTGGTTCCTCTCACGCCACGAACACGAACACTAACATCTTTTTGGTTCCTCGAAAAGGACTCTTAAGAACCAGCTGCTTGTTCTACTGTTCACTTCACAACACTCAAATCTTTCTACTCTACACTTTGGGTGTGCTCACATTTCGTGACACCATTTTTGATACAAGTTTTTGTAAGGCCATCTCTAACCGATGGCTGACTAGATGGCTCGTTTTAGTCTTCTGGCCCTCCAAGATTTTCCAAGATATTAATATTTTAATGAACAGTACAGGACCATATTTGCCTCCGTCTCCAACCGAGGGCCAGAGGGCCAAAAGGCTCATTTTAGCCCTGTTACAAAAAACCGTCTCCAACCGAGGGTCATAGGGCCAAACATAATTTATTATTTAAATTTAAAAATTACAACAACTTAAATTTAAAAACTACAACTACAATTTAAAAACGACAAATTAAATTTAAAAACTACAAATTAAATTTGAAAACAACATTAACTTAAATTTAATATCTATAATCAACATCATCTTCATCATCCGTCATTGTAGGAGTATAGTCAGAGGTAAACAACTGTCGTCGGCTCATAATTTATTTATTTTTCTATCAAAATAGGCCATATTCTTATCATCCATCTCTTCTTGTATTTGTTTGGCCCGTTCTTCATGCCTACATTTCCTTTCTTCTGCCTCAAGGGCATTTTGCTCCGCCAATAATCGCAATGAGGCCGCCACTTCATATTGAGCGGCGTAATCATCATTTGCCTTGCCATTTTCCTTCAACCTTCGCACCTTGTTTCGTCCCATAGCCCTAGGTATGGAACCTTCACCCGAAGACAGATTTTCTACCCTTGTTTGTTGAATGGTTGGAGATTCATCTTCATTCATATTTGCAGTTGAGGATGTAGTTCCGAACACTGGCGTAGGAGCTCTCTGTGGTGGATCTTCAAATAACACCCACCATTTACAAATTTCCCAACAACTGTGAAACTGAAAGGGTTTCGAGCTGCTCTCCATATACAATTCCTCCGCTTGGCGTACCTAGAAAAAAATTAAAGGAAATTAATTTATGAAATTAAATGTAATATAATTAAATATTTAAAATAAATTGTGAAAACACTTACTTCGTCGTAGTAATTAGCGCCGCTTTCATGTCTACTTGCGGCTGCTAACAATGCTTGATGCCATTTGTTCAAACTTGGCTGAAGATGTTTCTTCCATCTTGAAGAACAACTCTCGTGATTTCGAATATTCACTAGAGTGGTGCCTTCATAGAACTCTAAGTATTTTTTGGACACACGAGGCCAAACACCATCATTTGTTTGACAATTCCCCCTCACACTATCTTCTGACACCCATCTATAAGCCTTGCAAAGAGCTTCATCTTCTTTTCGGGTCCAAGCCCTACCTTTCATTGCTGACGAGGCCATTTGAAAATTATTGAAAAAATTGAAGGATAGATTTTTGAAAGAGGAAGGAAAATATGAGAATTGAAATGGTGTAGGAATGGTGAAAATTTTGTGAGGAATGGTGAATGAATGGTTTGGGTATTTATATGAAAAAAAATAAAATTTTTGAGAATTAAAAAAAAAACAAGAAAGGCCCCAACAACCTTAAAAAAAATAAAAAAAAATTTGAAACCAACGGTAAATGGCGCCAGCTAGCCATTGGATTCAAAATTTTGAATAAGAAATCTTGCCAGTTATAACCGACAGGATTATGCGGTTTCTGGCCAGCCCCGGGCTGGCTGGCTGTTTGCAGTCAGCCTTCCAGCCCTCTAGCCCTCTCCGATCCCTTGGGGCCTTCCTAGATTCCAGAGCCCTCTGGCTTAGCCCTTGGTTGGAGACAGTTTCGGGCTATTTTCGGCCCTCTGGACCCTTCAGTTGGAGAGAGCCTAAGATTTACTTTGTTATGTATTTCAAATGATCTGAATCATTCATGTTTGGAGGCAAATTGTCTGTCCTCCTATTTGGATGCCCTTCCCATCCTCTCCTATTTGTGCGGTTATGGTTAAGCCACGTCAACATTTTATATTCTTATTGTTTTTTGTCTTATTATCTCTATAAAAAATTAATATAAAAATGTTGACGTGGCTTAACCGTGACCGCACAAAATATGAGGGGATGAGAAGGGCACCCAAACAGAAGGGCAAACAATCTGCCTCCTTCATTTTTTAGGCGTTATGACATCACTTTTTTTATCTTCTTTTGTGCTCCATCCGTTTTCCTTTCTCTTTTCTTTTTCAAGCATGGACTGAAGCTGCTAGGAGAGTTGGTGTCCCTTCCAGTTTTATTGGGAATCCTCAACGGCTCGATGGAGAAATTTTTTAATGTGACGGTTTATACTACTAACACATTATGCTATTAGTTGATGTGTTATTAATGGATCCAGGGTATAGTATTAACTATGCATTATGTTTGTGTTATGTAGATCTTGGACCTTGTGCAGAGTAGGCTTGTAATTTGTGTTTGGATTGGGCTTTAAGTTTGAGTTGTGGATTTGTGCTCTATCTTCGTTAGTTCTATAAGCTCATTCAAATCCAATATTATCTTTGATTCAATGAATGTTCCGTTAACAACACATGATCATTCATTCTTGTAGGAAAGTAAATTGAGTAGGGTAGTCTAACCACGTTACTGACCTTGCCAGTGGCCACCCTTACAAAAGCATGACTCTCGTGTTAGAGCTGCCCTAAACAAACAGCGTTATCCAAATTTTATCACTTGCATAAAATGATTGTCTAAGGTACTTATCGAATTAATTGGATTCGTATTTTTACATTTATCAAATCAAATATGTCATGTATTAGACTACTGAATGAGAAAGTGAAAAAGAGTTTTAGGCGTTTTGTGCCAATAAAACAAGAATACGTTCACAAAATTTATACATTCATTTATTTCATTAGCACTAAACATCATTGGTGTAGTGTATTTGTCACATAAGTCATTCTCACACCAAAAAAGCGTGGTACAAGTGGGGGCTTCTTTTTTCTCTACCGTTTGGTTGAGGGTTATTTTAAGGGAACTTTAACGAAAAGCACCTGATACTGTTCACTTTAACGAAAAACCACATTTTTACACTAAAAAGTCAATCCTGGTAATATTCAATTTACCCTTTATTTTGTCCTTATCATTAAAACTCAAAGTTTTCAAGCCCTTTTCATTAGTTTTCCTTTATTATCCAATTATTTTTTGTGAAGCCTTGAGATACCAAAGTTATCTTGTGACTTTCTAATATTAAAGATTTAGAAGAGTGTTTTATCAGGAAAAAAAAAAAAGCAAAACAAAAAGAGCGTGGTACAAAACGACACCGTAGCATAGCCCCCAAAAAATGCCCAGATAACAGGTGGCAGTCAAAGCACAAGGTTTGTTTGCCCTCTCACTTCTTGTGATCTCTTTTGTGTGGTCATGGTGAAACCACGTCAATATTTTATATTATTTTTTTATAGAAATAATAGGATAAAAATAAATAATAATATAAAATGTTGACTTAGATTAACCGTGATCCTTAAACAGAAGGACACGGAAGGACACCGAAACTGGGAGGCTTGTCTGCAGTCAAAACTCCAAAATCAAAATGGTGGTCCCTGTCAAGTGTCAAGACTGAAGAACCACTGTCAAATCAAATGGAATTCCATTCCCATCTGCCCCAACCCCCACCGTCGCCATCACCATCGACGCCGCATCCACAGTCCCAAATCCCACCACCTACAAATCATCCGAAAACCCCCAATACCAATCGCAATTTCGAACAACCATGAAGGCCATTTTGGTCATGGTCTCCCTCTTGCTCGTCAACTCCTTCCTCCCCTGCTACTCCCTCGAAGACGACGTCGCATGCCTCGAGGGAGTGAAGTCCTCGCTCACTGACCCAGAAGGGCGGCTGGGCCAATGGGACCTCGCCAACAGGTCGGTGGCCTCTATCTGCAAGCTGGTCGGCGTTTCCTGCTGGAATGAGAAGGAGAATCGCCTCATCAGCCTCCAGCTCCCGTCGATGGAGCTCGTCGGAATGCTCCCGGAGTCTCTCAAGTTCTGCCACAGCCTCCAGAGTTTAGACCTGTCCGGTAACGCTCTCTCCGGTTCGATTCCTCCTCAAATCTGCAACTGGCTTCCTTACCTCGTAACACTGGATCTCTCCGGCAACGCTCTCTCCGGTTCCATCCCGCCGGAGATCGTCAATTGTAAGTTCCTCAACACTCTAATTTTGAACGATAATCGCCTCTCCGGTTCTTTGCCCTACGAGCTCGGCCGGCTTGATAGGCTGAAGAAATTGTCCGTCGCTAATAACGACTTAACTGGTACGATTCCGCCGGATTTGTCGAAATTCGAGAAGGATGATTTCGATGGGAACGGTGGTCTTTGTGGGAAGCCTCTGGGGTTGAAATGTGGTGGATTGAGCAGCAAAAGCCTCGGCATTATAATCGCCGCCGGTGCTGTTGGTGCTGCCGGGTCTCTGATTTTGGGATTGGGCATTTGGTGGTGGTTTTTCGTCAGGGCGGGTCGGAAAAAGCGAAGCTTTGGTGATGGTGTTGGCGGTGGTGAAAAGAGTGAGGGTGGCTGGGTTGGGTTATTGAAGTCTCACCAGGCTATTCAGGTGTCCCTGTTTCAAAAACCCATTGTGAAAGTCCGGTTGGCGGATTTGTTGGCCGCCACCAACAGTTTCGACTCCCAAAACATTGTCATTTCTACGAGGACCGGTGTTTCTTACAAGGCTGTGCTACCTGATGGGTCGGCAATGGCGATTAAGCGGCTCAATGCGTGTAAGCTTGGTGAGAAACAGTTTAGGTCGGAGATGAATAGGTTGGGGCAGCTCAGGCATCCGAATTTGGTGCCTTTGTTGGGGTTTTGTGTTGTGGAGGAAGAGAAGCTTTTGGTGTATAAGCACATGTACAATGGCACGTTACACTCTCAGTTGCATGGAAGTGGTAATGTGAATAGCCAGTATGGTTTTTTGGATTGGCCGACTCGGCTAAGGATTGGTGTAGGTGCGGCCAGAGGGCTTGCCTGGCTTCACCATGCATGTCAGCCGCCTTATATGCATCAGAACATTAGCTCGAATGTGATTCTTCTTGACTATGATTTTGAAGCTCGCATAACGGATTTTGGGCTGGCAAAGCTGGTGGCTTCTCGTGATTCCAATGACAGTTCGTTCGTAAATGGGGATTTGGGAGAGTTTGGTTATGTGGCTCCTGAGTACTCGAGCACAATGGTGGCATCGTTGAAGGGGGATGTGTATGGATTTGGGGTGGTTCTTTTGGAATTGGTGACTGGACAGAAGCCGCTTGAAATCAGTAATGTAGTGGAAGGATTCAAGGGGAACTTGGTGGATTGGGTGAATCATTTATCAAACACTGGTCGAAGTATGGATGCCATTGACAATGTCTTAACCGGGAAAGGTCACGATGATGAGATTTTGCAGTTTATGAGGATTGCTTGTACTTGTATTGTTTCTAGGCCAAAGGATAGGCCTTCCATGTACCAGGTTTGCGAGTCATTGAAGAGTTTTGCTGAGAAACACGGCTTCTCCAAACAGTATGATGAATTTCCGTTAGTGTATGGCAAACCTGTTCCTGAATCCTGATTTTAAAAGAATACGCACGCAGGGAGAGTTCCAAAAGCGCAAGATAATGCAGCATTTCAGTATGTCTTCATTGTATGCGGACGAAGGGCATGTTCTGTAATTGGTATGGTTTCCAGTAGGGCAGGATTTGGCTGTTGTAACGCTCACCCGTTGAATCATTCTGTATCATAAAGAAACATTATGCATTGTAATGTTTAGGTAATCCACAAAATCTCTGTTTTCGTGTCTTGAAAATGCTAGCTCAGAATCTTGGAAGTTTCCCTTGCCAGAAAATGCTTGAAATGAACTTCTTAAATTGTGCAAATGAAGTCAACGAAGAGAAATCGGATTTCATATATAATCCGCAAGCACACCTATATGCGGATTTTTTTATAGATTTGTTAACGCATTCAACGAAGAGAAGTTGTCAGTGCTTGGATTTGAGGTACGTATATATCTTCCGATACTAAGTTTTGGTACCTTCCTTTTGCTTGTTTATATCCGATATTAAAAATGAGCTCGGTTATTGTGATAGTATGCTTGATCAAATAAGTTAATCGAAGGGTATCAAGAACGGAAACAAAGAACTGTGGCTTGTATCCTGGAAATGCTACATGTTAATGTATGGTGCTGGAACAGGCGATCATGCTGTTCTTGTTGCTCATCGGCGGTTCGTTAATATACTTGAGAAGAAAGCAGACTGCTTCCACTGCTGGATTGTTGAATTCAGAGCAACTCCAGGTTTTATCAGTGCCATTTCGGAAGCTCATTCGAGCAGCATCCAACCGTACCGTTTACTGCCTCCAATTTCACACCCTGGATAGTTTTTCTGGCGTTAAAAAGAACCCTTTTTAGTAGTCTCTGTTTGTTATGCAATATTTCTCATACAGCGTATTATTCTTTGGTTAAGAATGTAGAAAAATCTGACATTACCATACAGTCGAATGCAATTTATTTTTTCGGGTCATTACAATCGAATACAGCAAACGAACGGCTCAAGAAAAGGTAGGAAGGCAGTGTAAGGAGTTACATGCAGAGACGCTTCAACTTAGCAAAAGCGTCATCCCCTACACTTACTGCTTACAACTAATGAGGACATGGAAGACCATCATTGTTTAAAACAAAAACCAGCGAAGATGAAGGCCTTGACCCAAACAACATCACACAGCTCCGCAGAATCACGCGACGTAAGAGCATCCGCCGCCATATTGGCTGATCTTGGGACCCAAGACCAGCGACAATTCTGAAAGGCTTTCCCCAAGAGCTTCACCCTTTCTAAAATAGGAAAAGCCTCCCAACTGCCATTCTCCATAGAATTTGAGAGGCAAGAAATCGCCTCGGAAAGTAAGGTTCATTGGGTAAAACGTAAACTTGCGTAACACGGAAAGTAAGGTTTCGACGTTGAGGTTGCAAAGTTACAGAACAAGATATACCATGTTATTGACGTTTCCTCCGAAAAATATACAAAACAAGAGCCACAGGCCATTGGTGACTATTGTCAGTTCTCCTAATGAGTTTCTTCGGAAAATCAACAAAGCAGCAGCAGCAGCAGGGGAAAAAAAAAACACCAAACAAAAGAATCATGTTGACCATAACCCTCAACTTGAACAACACAACTCCTTTTAACGACACATCTACAGTAAACGCGGCAGAAAACATGGATTACAAACAGCCCGTAAGATATTGAAATTACAAAAAATAATCGGGAGTCTTGCGTGTGTTGTCCGGCTCAATTTGACGAGGGGCTGGGTCGAACTGCAGAAAATTCTGGTCCATGTTCTCGCCAATTTCCAAAATTGCGGCCATGTTCCCACACCGATAGCAATAGTTTGGAGCGCTGAAAACGGTCACCACATTCTTTTCCTGAAAGACAAAGTTATGATGAAAGTTAAAAATACAGCTAAAACTGACGCAAAATGAGGAAAAGAGAACTATTTCCAATCGGGTTCACGCACCTGGCACCAATTGTATCCTTCCATGACAAGCTGATGAGCTCTTGAAATCAGACTCAGTCCATTGGTATGGTTAAACTGAGCAGCTATATCCTGCCCGAATGTATAGCCAGCACCCCGCGGAGATATTCCCCACCCACAGCGGTCATCTGGATCAGACCACAAGAGATCACACATTGGTCCTTCATGTGGAACCTGCTCAGGCAGAAACATGTTATGATGTGAAAATGACCACAACAGGCTTGTAAGATGCAAAGCCATGCACACGTATTTGTAATTAAATTGAAACATAAAATGCGTATATACCTCCTGTATACGGTCCAAAGCTCGGATATTGTCCAATGTGTCCAAAGATGGTGAAAGACCCCCATGCAAACAGAAGACCTATAAGATATACCAGAAGCTGTCAAAAAACTAATGCAACCAACATGTCTTGAAGAAGTTCATCAAACTGCCAGCAAAATAAGTAACTTAACCTGACTCTCAATGAGGGCTGTCAGGGGAAGATAATCAAATAAATCGGTAAAGAACTTCCAGACATTGGCATTCCCATACTTTCTCAAGCATTCGTCATAAAAACCATACCTGGAAAAAGGAAATAAGTGAGACAAATATGAGTAAAACATAGAATCCAACCAAGAAAGAAACTAATCTTTCTGTCAATCAACAAAAACTTGTCAACATTAATGGAATTTAACTGTTTTTAACTCTCAGTTTTTAGCCATGCGGCCACACCAAGTAATTTGTTAATACCCGTAGCTCAAGTCGCAGCCATATAAAGTACCATGGAAGGATTAGACATATCAATATTTTACACAATATTACCATAAGACGGGAGCCTCTTATTGACGGGGACATGGGTAGGAGCCTTAAAGGGATGTACTCTATATATTCTGCTGGCAGTAGGACACCCTCTATAACAGAGAAGTATCTTCTACCCACCACACATAACCCGACTGTTATTTCTGGAGTGAGGACAGTCCCACAAGAGCATACTATCTAACAATGAAAGCAGGTGTCTACACTGTTTTAAAAGAAATCTAAGTATCTTAATATGCCAAGGAAAAAGAAGAAAAGGAAAAAGCTTAATACTAGCACGGCATTTCCAAGCATTATCTACATTACTCTTTTGTGTAAACTTGCAAGCCAACCAACAAAACCAAATACATAAAAGGGATAGCTGCTAGCATTCATACAAAAATCTAGATACAGCTCCACATGCTTTGATTGGTATAACAAAACTTAGTCAGACTAAGTGCGACAGACATGAAATACAATAAGCACTCTTACACTTGAGTAATTTGCCGGCTTTCGTGATTTCCTCTGAGGATTGTAATTCTATCTCTATAACGGACTTTCAGAGCGACCAGAAGCGTGACAGTCTCCACAGAATAGTACCCACGATCTGCAATTCAGTGGGCCAAGATGTTAAGAAAACATCGGTACAGAAGTTCATAAAATTCCAAACTATCTTCTAAAACAATGCCAACCCATCAATTAAGCTAAACAAGACAATATAACGCAAAGCCCAGCACAATAATTTTTTTCCCATTTACGGAAAATTAATCTTGACAATCCAACAGATCTTAGACAGGTACGAACATAATACAAGCAATAGAAACCCAGCCAACCAATGCCCGTAATAACAATTATAGTAAGGCTGATCAAGGCCACAACATAATATCAGATAAAATTCAATTTTTTTCATTAATCCAAGAAAAAAAGGGGATTATAGCATGTGATTTCAAATACAGAAACTGGATTGTTCGCAACTCAATTTCCATAAATACATAAATAGAAATCAAATCCAGAGCCTCATTCATTTCCATAAATAAATTATAAATAAAAAAGTAATCTCAAAAACGGTAGATAAATCAAAACCCAAAGGAAATTAGGGGAAAAAAGCAAGAAAGCAGAAAAGTAAACAGAAAGAAAAAAGAAACTGACCTACATAATCACCCATAAAAAGGTAATTAGTATCGGGAGCGTTCCCTCCTATCCTAAAAAGCTCAATGAGGTCGTAGAACTGGCCGTGTATATCTCCGCACACCGTGACGGGGCACTTCACCGGCTGCACGTTCCACTCCTCCACCAGGATCGCCCTCGCCTGCTCGCACAGCGTCTTCACCTCCGCCTCCGGCAACGTCTTGCACTCCATCAGATGCTCGATCTGACGGTCCAGATCCGAATGAGACGGCATCGCTTCGCTTCACCACCGCCCTCAGATCCGATCGCCGATTCCGATTCCGATTCCTCCTAGATCCAATAAAAAACCGATGCGCGCGAACTCAGCGGCGACGGAACAATCTCGCAGCGGGGAGCGAAACTAGTCGTCTTGGAGGAGATCGGTCGAGCTTCGACCTCTCTTCTATCATTCCTCGCACTGTGTTTGTTTTATTTGTTTCAGCAAAAAAAAATTAAAAAGGTCAAAAAAATCTGGAAATTATCGAAAAAATGTATTTATTTATAAATGTGGGAAAAGAAAAGACGAGGGAAATGAAATGCGAGGAGGAGGAGGGACGGTTAAGAAGGAGACTCTCTCTCTCTCTCTCTCTCTCTCTCTCTCTCTCCAAATGAAATGCAAATGCAAATGAAAACGCAGATTTTAGATTTTTTATTTTCTCCTTTTTGTTTCGTCAATATTGTAAGGAAGAAAACATTTTCTCTCACCGGTGGCTCCGCCGAGTCAACATCAGTTACATCACTAATGACCGACACGTGTCGACTCCAGCTGCTACTTTTGGACTGTTTAACCTGCTGAGCTCTGCCCGTACCCACCGTTCGATTTTTCTTTCTTTTTCTCTCCTTTAACCTTTTCAGGATATGTTTTCAAAAATTGCGCAATGGTACGTGGGCTTTTTAGTTTCGTGCAATTACCACTTTAATTATAAAAATTTACAATCTATCACCAAATTTTTTGGTTTCGTGTAATTACCTCTTTCAAAATTTTTGTATTGTGGCACTCAAATTTCACGGCGGTCCTTTTTCAAGAGCATTCTCATCACTTACGATTTGCTATTTTTTTTTTAACAAATGATGAGTGGGTTAAATCTCACAATAGGTTATCAATAATGTGATTCGAATTCACCTTTGAAGAGAATCGAACTTAAGATCTCTTACTTACAAATAAAGAGAAATACCACTAAACCATAATACTAAATAGCTACGATTTGCTACTTTGACACCCAATTTTTTTGTTTGATCGGGCCTCGGGTGTCCCCCATCCTAGGGGACATTTGACACCCAAACTTCACGACTACCTTTCTTCAAGGACACTTTTTTTCATTTACTTCGAGTAAGGTACTTGAAATTTGTCATATAACGATACAATAATCTTATTGTCGTCGAAAATTATATTTTACATAATCTTATTGTCGTCGAAAATTATACTTTACGTAGTTTTTTCTCTCTTGGCAATTCTCTTACATTTTCTTCAAAACTCATGAAAAATGGACTGTAGTTGTGTGAAACGACAATAATGTCCTTGATAAAAAAAATGTGTTCTTCTCACGTGTCATTGTTTGACAAAAAAACATTGAATGAAAGCAGATATAAATACTAAAATGTAACACATTTTAAAGTGTAAGAGGTTCGTAGTAAAACTTTGTTGTTTAGATTGTAATTGCACAAAACTATCCAAGTTGTAAGAACCATTTGTGCAAATTCCCTTTTATATATGTATAATTGAGAACAAACACTTGAAGCAGGGCCTTGGGATGGATGGGTTCAATTAGTCAAGGAATGCAGGCTGCAGCCCCTCCAAAGGGGAACCACACAAAAACCAAAAGGGAATAGTTTGGAGTTTATTTGGTCCAACAAATTACACCGAAGATTCATTCAATTTTCAGACTTCGGCCTGTAGACTTTTGAAACATTGACCATCATTTTCAAATTAAGCTACCCTAAACACTAAGCTTTATTATATAGTTTAAAAAGGGAGATTATATTCACACACCTCAAATTACTTCTTCCACATCCTTTTAATTTTTTAATATTTTCCTATCAAGTGTTAGTGGTATGTAAAAAATATTAAAAAAATAAAAGGATATTTGAGAAGTAATTTGGGATATATGAATATAATCTTTCTTTAAAAATCTTTTCGACCAAAAAAAAAAAATATATATATATATATATATAGTGTGAAAATCCATGTGGTATATTTGGATTAAGGTCTTCTATGAGATGTCGAGGATTTTATGCGAGTTCCACTCAATTTTCGAGCTGAATTCGGCTTCCTTTTGTTTTTTGGTGTCAGGGGAGGGGGCTCACTAGTTGCTCCTCTTCCAGAGTTATCCATGACTTGGATTTAGCTATCTCTTAAAGATTTCTCAAAAACTATCTAAACACCCTTATGCGTTCTTGATTAGGCCGATCTATCTCAGCAGTTTTATAGATATGGCAAGACCGTCACATCTCGCGTATATGGACCACTATAATTATCCAAGAAGACACTCAAAACTGGAAGGATAAACAAAACCACCCCGCACCTGGTGGACTGCCAAGCTACAAGTTCCACGGGACACAGGAGCAGGATTCTCTAAAACGGGCAATTGTATGCGCGAGGGTACATTATAAGTATTCTGAGAATTTACAACATTGACCAAAAGGAGAAGAAAAGGGGGTAGGAATAAACCTTTTTAGGGTTTAGGGTTTAGGGTTCAATATCACGGAAAAGAAGACAGATAATGTCTTAAAGTTGTGTTTCATGCTGACTCGCTATTGTTATAATGATACTTTTCTTACTACGGAGGAGATTTGGACTTCGAAAACTTCACACCCGTGAATGAAAAAGAGTCGTCGAGTTGGGTCCGGCAGCACATGAGGCCATGGAGTTAAGTTCAACTACTCTTTGAACATGGACCATATGACTAAACAATGTCATTTGTCGAATGTAGAAATCTAACCCAAAAGTCCACAAACAATAGAACCAAATTGGCAGTAACATAAGTCCCATAATATGGAATTATATCGTTACGGTAAAACTTCTATATTGCTATGATATTGAGATTAAATAAATTGTAGAATTATAAAAAGGTTATTACTTAATAGAGGTTTAGTTCCTTTAAAAATATATATATATATATATATATATAATAATAATAATACAGGTTTAGTTAAAAGAAAATAGTTTTTTCTACTTGTGGTCCAATATCTTAGTAGATAGGGTGTTAGATTTCTACCTATGCATCTTGGATTCGAAAAATCCCTCTCTTAAATTATTGTAATAATTTCAAACTCTTCCCTTTCTCCTTGATAATAATATATTTTTTAAGAAATAAAATAATTTTTTGGCTTATTTATCCATGATACAAAATGTTTTCATGCAAAGAATAATATAAATTCTGAGTTGAATGCCAAACGGGTCCTTAATTTATTCGAAGGAGGAACTTGTAGAGCATGACTACATACGAGATGTATTATTATAATAAAGAGGTTATAATTTGATAATTTATTCTCGTTAAGCTAGCTTATCTCTGTCTCACTCTCATATGGTGGAAAAAGCACCACTTCCAAGCTCTTTTTTTCTTTCTTTTCCTTTTTGGTAACCGCCCCATTTTTGAACCCATATCTCCTTTAGACTATCTCTAATGGTGGCCTAAAACTTAAAATTTCCCTTCCTCCCCCTCCCTCCAAATCCACTCTAACCCATAACTTAAAATAAACCTAAAACCCAAATGGGGGTCAAATTCCAGCCTAATTTTAGGCCACAAAGCACAATGGGCCCCACCAAGTGAGACTGAAATCAGGGCTGTGAAACCTACTTCCCAAACTCCAATCGCCTATGCGCGCACGCAGTAGGCTTGGCTGCAAAGAAGAACGAGCCCACGTGGGGGTGTTCGCCCCTCTGTCAAACATCAAGTAGCCCAATGGCTACTTTTTTATCATCCAACGGCTACGTTTAAATGGGCCATTGGTTAATCCAACGGTCCAGGTTCAAATTATTATTTTTTAGTTTTATATTTATATATTTATTGAATCGAATGGCTCAGATCAAATATAATCAAATATAATGGTAAAAAAAAAGATCTAATGGTCCAAATTTAAATCCAACGGCTAAAATAATTTAAAAAATTATTTAACTTAAAATTCAACCAAAAACTCTATAAATACCTATGTATTTGTTCAAACATCCACACAAAACTCACTTTTCTCCTACAATTCTTCCAAATTTTCTTTCTACCATTTCTTCTCATTTCCAAAATTTTCAAGATGGCAAAAGAGCATGTTAGAGGTCGTAATTGGACCTTTGACGAAGATATTGCTTTATGTTTGGCATGGATTTCTGTTAGCGAAGATGGTGTCGTCAGTACCAATCAAAATAGAAAGGTTTTGTGGGGTAAAATCATTGATAAGTTTCATGAAAACTTCAATGCCGGTCGAAGGGAAGTTGGCGGTGTTTATGATCGGTGGAAGATTATCAACAAAGCGTGCACTTTGTGGAAGGCAAGCTTGGAGACATCCATGGTTGACATGCCTAGTGGAAGGGGCGCCTCATAAATTGTGAGTTTCTTTGTTGATATTTTAGTTGTCATGTACATAATAGTATTTTGCAACTAATTGTTTTTATGTATTTGTTGCATAGGGTGACAAAGCAATGACAATTTACAAGACAAGAACTACACCAGAAAATAAGCTTTTAAGTTGCATCATGCTTGGAACATCCTCAAGGATTGTCCGAGGTGGGGAACCGATGCGAATCAACAATGTGGAAGATTATTTCATAATGAAGCCTCACCCCCAAATGATGTCAATGAAGGTGTGAATTTTGCCGACAATGAAGGTGTCGACCAAATAAGCCCAACTTCTTCTTTTCCAAGGCCCCCGGGTAGAGATAAACAAAAGGAAGCAAAGAGAAAGGAAAGTCCCAAGATCTGATACATGCACAATTTGCTAGCGAAATGGCAAGAATGAACGAAAACCAGTGTTGTCGGCAAGAAGAATCGGCCCAAATGCTTTTGGCCATGAAGGAAGAAGGGGATAGGGAGCAAGAAAGGTACGAAACTAATTTGATAATGGAGGACCTCGACAAATACACTCCATAAAGGAAGAAAAACTTACATGGTAAGCAAAATGAAATTTTACGAAGGAATACCATAAGGAGTATATTTCAAGATGATGATCATCTCAAGACTATCACCCAAGTTCATCACCAAGTCAAGATGGTGGATATCATTATTAAGTTTATGTAGTCTATGAGTTTTCGATTGTATTAAGTTTATGTGGTTTATTAATTGTCTTTTTTTTTTTAAGTTTATGTGGTTTATTAAATGTCGTTGGTATTAAGTGTATGTGGTTTATCATGATTTTCATGTATTGATTTAGTGATTTTTCAAAATTTATCGGAATTTAAATATTCATAAAATTAATTTAGGATAGTCTACATAATTTTTTTTTAAAAGTTAATTTAAAAAAAAATAGCCTTAATTCATTCTTTGATAATATGGGGCTAACATTTTAGGTCAGAAGGGTTGGAGTAGAAAAGCTGTTTCTAGGCTAAAACCTAAATTTTCCGAGCTAAATATTTTTAGGTTTTAGGTCACCATTGGAGATGGTTTAGACTCTGTCTTTGCTTCTTTGCTTCTCAATCCAATAATAAAACACAAAACCCCACAAAAGAGAAAGGAGGACAAAAAGCTTCACTTTGAAGCTAAAGAAGACCGTATATAGTTCTTCCTTTTCTTTTAACCTCTATTATTTTGTATATTTTCTGTCTTTTTTTTGTTATGATATTGAAAGGACTCCTCTCGCAGAAATGAGTCACTCTTCACTTCGAAACTTTAATTTGATGTACATGTGCAAAAAATAACTCATAAAAACACAAAGAAAAACTTTTAAGTATCTGTCAAACCGTGATTTGTAAGAATATAGAATACCTATGCAAAACTAAGTTTGAATGGAGTAAAGACCAAAACAATACGTACTCCAGCATTTCGTCAAAGAATCAAGGAAGAAGATAGCTACCACACATACAAGATGCAGCATGCAAGAGGCAACTTTATTTTCCAGATGCAAAATTCCACCTTTATTAATTGGTAGGATACATTCACTTTAGTTTTGGAACTCATGCCATAATTAAGCATATCTATTTAATTTTTAAATTTTATATATATATATATATTTATTTATTTATATTTGAGAATCTTGAAGACTACAGGCCAAACTATCCCGTATGCATGCACGGCGACTGCTTTAAGTTATGTTCCACAAATAAATATATTCTCATCGTCTTTTTTACATGCAAAGACACATTTTCTCAATCGATTAAAAATTTGCTATATCTATCACTCAGTCACAATAAAAAAATTGTGGAGAAAACAGTAATTAATCTTTGATCGAAGAACTTATTTTTTGTGCGAGTGGCAATCTTCATTTCCTTTCGTACACTCTCCCCGAACACCTCCCAAAGCCATTTCTGTCATGAAAAAGATTTGCATATGCACACACAGCTGGGATTATTCATAATATTTTTTCAAGAATATTTAAACACATACATACATAATCCTAAAGGGCATATGCATCTTCATCGATTCGTATGCATCTCGATCCATCGCGTGCATCATCTTCACCTGCAATACTCCTGCTGAATTAGCTTCTGAAGTACTTTAATTAGTGGCTAAGCTTGACCCGGGGGCCGTCCCGAGTTCCCAGCTCTCCTGTGAGAAGAATAAGTAAGTACTTAATTAAAATGTAGAAGCCTAATTGAAAGGTAACTATCCGTTGATATGAAGCATCATGCCCAATAAAGGAGGCAAAAAAAAAAAAGAAGGGGAAAGAAAGACACAAACGTAAAGGTTGAAGGTACCATAAATGTAGAGAACAAGGTTAAATGTTAATTAGCTTTAAACAAACATCATTAAGAAATGGAATAAAGTGAAGGGCATGCTTTATTTTTCTTTTTATTGGAGTCAGTGAATGGGAGATTAAAAACTGTACCTAATCATGCTTTAACTGTTGCAACAAATCAATGTAACAGTTAAAGCATCTAGAGCATAATAGTTTTCCTTTTATTTTTGGGTGCATATCCGCATGCATGAGTGTACTTCATATTGTAGTTGCATTAGATACTCAAATATTATAAGCTAAAAGAAAAAGAGAAAGGAAACAAAGAGAGCCAAATCTCTATTAGCATCCCTATATATATATATATATATAAATACTGTTGTATATTTTGCAAGAACATCAAGAATCATTTTGGTTCTTTCGTGAAATCTTTGTTAAATTAAAAAGTATTTTTGTCAAATTAACTTCTTCATTTAAACGGATGGTTTCTTTAATTTAACGAAGATTTTTTACAGAAGGACGTTGCTTGATAAAAAAAAGACAGTTGCTTGATAGAAAAATGATGTTGCTTGACGAACATATACACATATATACATATCCTAAAGTATTTAATAGATGCATAATCATAATTGCATCGATGCATGTGAATAACACCATATGAGAGAAAGAACAGAAGACACGCACGTTTGCCATAATCATTTTATTACATGAACAGTATGTGATTGATAAAGTGAGAAGCGTACACACACACACACACTCACCCCACTAGTTTTGGCAAATTAATTACATTATTTTCCATATAAAATCCTAATCTAAAACCTTTTTTTTTTCTTGAAAATATGATAGCTTAGTGGTTAAATGGTAGATTAGAGAGCCGACGAAGTTCAAACTCACGTTGAGAGTTAAGATGTCATGGCATAACTCATTTCCACCACTGTAGTAATCTAAAACTTAAAAACTCGATTACCACAACGAAAAGACTAAAGAGTACGAAGCCATATATATATAAAACCCACCTGTTGTGAATTGGATCTGGTCCGTTGGGAACTCTTCTTTTGCTCATATAGTTAAAATTCAAATCTGGATGAACAAGCTTCCCTCTTCCAACCGCATCGGTATGCTTTGAGGCTGCTGTACTCGTACCTCCTTGAGTCTCTAGGGTTCCGACCAGCAAAAGACAGATAAACCCTACCACCGCAAGCGTTCGCAAGAAACACTCTAAAAAACAAGAAACACCACCACTGCCCATATATATATATTTTTGTTTCCCAATATATAGTAGCTATATAAGAAAGATCGTTGCACCTAGCTAGAAAGAAAGAAGATATATAGGAGAGGGGAGGGAGGAGGGTTAAGAAGTTTCTTAATTAGCTAGCTAGAGAGGCAGTTTTTTATTTCATTGGGGTTGGGGGAGGCAGTTTTCTTTATAGGATTTTGAGGGTTTATGATGCACTTTCTCAGGGACCTTGAGAGAGAGAAAGAAGGGAACAAAGAAAGGGTTATAGCTTAGCTGGTTTGGAACGTGAGAGAGAGAGAGAGAGAGAGAGAGAGAACAACTTTACTTTATACTGAGAAGGTTTGGATACGACACTCCTCTTTTGCTTTGAGTTGATTTGTGTATTTTCATGCAGATAGCACATCTCTACGATGCCAAAAGACCATCCCTTACCTACAACAGGATGAAAGCCAATACTAAAAGGGATTTGGGGGTCGCCCACTGTCTGTGACGTGCACCAAATCTCCATATCGCTTGGTCCATCTATAATCTCCATAAGAAGGTATATATAGGAAGAATAACACTATAAAATCTTCGACCAAAAAAGGGGAAGAATAAAACTATATTTTATGATTGATTTATGGAGATGGATTGTCTGCCCTCTCATTTCCATGTTTTTCCCATCTTCTTCTGTTTTGTGTGGTCACGATTAATTCACGTCAATATTTTATATTCTTATTACTTTTTGTTTTATTATTTTTATAAAAAAATCAATATAAAATGTTGACGTGACTTAACTGTGACCACACAAACAGGAGGGAATAAGAAGAGTATGGAAATGGGAGGGCAGACAATCCACCTCCTTGATTTACATCTAAACGATGGGACCGTCATCCATACGTGGAGTGAGCTGCTTGGAGTTGGATTTAGTATTTTTGCTTTTTGTTTTGTGTTTATACACACACACACGAGAGACAGAAAATCGCACTCGAAATCTCATATACAGAATATTCTATACAGTTGACAATTTCATATATTATATATATATATATATATATATATATTATTTATCAATATATATTATTTATCAACTTTATAATTCCGGCCAACCATGCTCCACAAAATTATTCCATGATAATTAGAACCACTCTTTACATGGGACTGTTAATTTCCTTGAGAGTGAGGGAATAAAATATAATACAATTAATAAAAGATTGTATAACACATGACTGTACGAACATGAACACACGCATGAGCTCTGAATAGATACTGAAAATTAATACAGAAGATGATTCTTTGCAACAGGTTTTGGTTTTGATTAGAAGGAATATTTGGCACGCCCTGTTGCAACTCCATAAGATAAGACCAAAGCAGCAAGCATTTCGCACCTTTTTGTCTTATCCATTCTCATATGAATCAGCCCAGCAGAGGTGTAGTAGTGCAGAAGAAACATGTAAAAGTTGTTGTTGTGAAGAATCAAATGCTTCTCAACATCTCACTAGTGTAGTATTAGCTTCTTGTTGAAGGTAAATAAAGCTACACATCTATAAAAACCACCTAAACCAGTAAAAAACACATGCTAACTAGTGCAGTACAAAGATATGGGATCGATGCTGCCACTACTTAAAATCAGATGTGGGGAGCTTTGCTGGTGTAGTACAAAGATAGTTGGCACCGTTTTAATCTTACTAACTTATTACCGCTTGAATTCTTGTGTGTGTGTGTGTGTGTGTACACGTGACGGTATCAAGGTTCTAAAAAGTGCCAAACGTTTGTCAAAGGCTGAGAAAGGGCTAGCGTAGCCCAGGCCGATTTTTTTTTTTAAATTTATTATATAACAATAAAAACATAAGAATAAAATGACTACTTATACAATTATGCCTAATATATATATAGGAAAAATTAGTTTCCGGTCCCTAGTTTCTAATGTTCATTAACTAAGACCTTATCATTTTTTAGATTTTGATCAAAGTCCCTATCATTAATATATTAATGAATTACATGTAAGTTACATAATTTTTACAAAAAAAATTAGTAATTGATTTAAGAGTTTTAATACTCACACCCTTATTAAACTCCTAATTAATTTTTAATTAAAACATTTCCCAAATAAAAATAAATAAAATTAGAATAAGTTTGTACCCATTAAATTTTTATAAAAAATTGATCCATTCTTAAATATACCAATTTGTTAAAAATGTACCCTTTTTTTATATAAAATTTCATTCAATCTTTTCTCTAATCCATTTTTAAACTTATATGGATACATTCTATTTTCGTTGATTTGAGAATGTATCCATGTCAAGTTTAATAGAAGAAATTTAATAATGTTATTAAGGTTTTTTTTTTGTTGTGCTTTTGAAAAATGTACCCATGCTTTGGTACAACAACTTTTTGGTTAGTTTTGATGAACGTACCCATGTACACACACACACACATACATACACACACACACAAAATATATTGGAGAGTATAATTCATCTTTAATATTTTTAATCCCATAAAATATGGGTTTCATTTAAAATCTCATTAATATAAATAACTACAAATTTTATTTTTAATTAAAAATATAATAACCTACATAAAAATACATTATTATATTAATCTCAGGAACTTCAATCAAAAGTTAAAAACCACCAAGATTTCAATCAAAGAACATTAGTAGTTAAGGACCGCATCCAAAGTGTTCTATATATATATATATTTACACATACTAGTATTTGGAAACCTAAATCCAATCTTTTTTTAGCAAGCTCATCTTTTTTGTTGTCGATTGTTAGTTGTAGATATATCTAGAGTCTCATGACTTCATGATATTCTTGTGTAATCTTCCTTTTCATTCAGTCTTATGCCCCGTTGTCAAAAAAAAAAAAAAATTATAGCTGATTCTCTATATAGTATTTAGTCTCTACTTGATGATATTCTTATTCCTATATTGTCCCGATCTCATCATGAACTCAAATGATGAGGGTTTGGATTGACCCCCTTTTTTTAGGGACCAGGATAAGAATTGAGTTTGAGCCTTTGAGGACAGTTTATAGTTAAATAGAGAAAGGATAAAATATCTATTTAGCTTATTGCTCTCCTACTGTAATTATTTGTTTGTGATCGTTACACTGTTACAATTAATATATCTTCTACGCAATATATTATATATAAATTCTTTGTTTATTATATATATTAAGGAACTATTATTAGTATTCTAAAAATCTCATTTTACACTACTCACAAATGTATTTTTCTTTCTAATTATAGAAAATTTGAAATTATCTATATATTGTAATACGTAGATTATTAATATATTTGGAAGCTTTGTCTACCTCCAGAGGTTATTTTGCTTTGCTCTTTTTGAGACAAAGATTAAATATCAAGTCCCGGTCACACAGGATATTGGGGAGACCTAAAAACATACTAAGCATCTCCAATGCGCTTGAGACCTAATGAAATTTTGACAAAAAAAAGAAGAAGAAGTAACTTGGAAAAAAAAAAGAAAGGAAGTGACTTAGACAATTTTTTTTGTCGCCAACCGCAGATGATCTAACTGTTATAATATTCTTTTTGCTGAAGGTCAAGCTCTCCTTGATGGTCTTAAGACTCCTCATGATCGTGGTTTCTCTTGCTTGGAGGTGGAGGGGGATTCTAAATTCCTTCTTAATGCTTTGAATGGGACCTCTTCTATCCCCTCGCAACTTAGGACTTTGGTGTCCAACGTCCAAAAGTTATTTGCTTGCTGTTTCCAATATTTCATTCTATCATATGTTCTGCGAAGTTAATTTTTGTGATTGACGCACTGGCTAAAAAGTGGCAAACATCTTTTGTTGATCATTTGTGGTGGCATAATCTTTATGTTGAGGCGCGTTGTATTTGATTCTGGAATTTTTATAAATTTGCTTGCCCTAAGAGCTTCTTGTTGTAAATCTTTTCCTTCCCTGAAAAAAAAAAAACAATTGCACCATTTATCCCGACGTCGGAAAGTAAACAAATTCGACCTAAATAGTAGAAATCGATGAACAAGAGCTTCTAGATACTACAATATTTACTGTAGGAACTTATGATGAAATTAGGAATTTTAAAAGCAAAATCAGTCAACTTGGTGATCATTGAAAATGATGTTCTGTCAAATCACAACTTTCAGTTTATGGAATGAATCCGACCTTAGTGTCCGAAGTTTAGAAATCAATTCATCTGGACCGCACAAATTCAATTCAACGGTTTTCATTAACTCATTTTTCTGGCTCACTACATAAAATTAACGGTTCTGATTTCTTTTACACACCAATCAGCGATCCAGATGAATTGATCTTTAAACTCTGGACACTAAGGTTCGGAACAGATCCAATTCCTTCATTCATGCCCTTGGTAATCTGAACCAGCTGTCCAGCAAAGGTAGACACTATAATTAAATAATAATATGTATTGTATCACAAATTTTGTTTACGTACGTAGTTTCATCGAATCTCAAATTTTGTTTACGTACGTCGTTTCATCCACTATAGACATAAAAGCCATGCCAATTGGCCTATATATATGGTTGGCGCCTGTATTATTCAGGCTAATTCTTTAGTTATTTTTATTTTTGTTATTTTATGGATTTGTACACGAGAACTTAATTAGTGAAATGTTTCTCACTTATTCGATATATGTTTCTGGCTCGATAAATCAATATGCATGGAACATCACAAACAAAACCCCTCCAAAGCTATTATTTTGTTCTCTTTATTCTGAAGCATGCTACTTAAGCATGGCTAGATTTAATTGTGGAATTAATATTAAATTTCATAATTTGTTAGATTTTTCAAAACAATTTTTGTTAGATTTAATTGCTTTAATTAATATAAAAAAAAAATTTGAAATGAAAAAAAAAAAAAGACGTTGCATTGTGCACTAAGATTTGGAGATTTGAATTAAAAATTTTAAACACATAAAGTTTTAGTCTAAAGTTTTAGTTGATCAGGGAGCGCTTTCAAAATGTCTCTTAGATAAAATTAATCATTTCTTCCATCATTCAATTCTTCCTTTGCGACTGTTTAGATGTCAACAATCTTATGATTAACTATATAATTGGAAGTTGGATATATATGCCTTTTCTCTACTTTCTCATTGGTTTATGTTACTATTTAGGAATGAAAGGTTAGGGTGCAATACTAATTGTGCTTAGACTTTCACACTCTCAAGTCTCTTCCTCCGGTTCCTTCGAGTTTGGAAGAGGTAAAAGTTGCAAACTGCACCTCATTAGAAAGTATCTCTGATATTTCAAACCTGCGAAACTCGGGGCCTTGAGTGCTTGAAATCCTTGGTGAGGTTGTATACGAGTGGTTGCAATGCTTGCTCCTCGGTTGTTAAGAAAAGACTCGCTAAGGTCCTCTCTCTCTCTCTCTACACACATATACGCACACGTATGAAAAGTGTAACTAAGTCGTCATCGGTTTGAAATCTTTTGTTGCAGAGCTACTTGAGGAAACTACGGAACCTTAGCATGCCAGGAAACAAGATACCAGACTGGTTGTCTCAAGGTGTGGTTACATTCTCCGAAAGAAAACCCGCGTTCGCAAAAGCGTGATCATAGGCGTTGTAGTCTCTCTCAACCAGCAAGTACCAGATGACACAAGAGAAGAACTCCCTCGTAGTGGATTTTCCTACCTCACTTCAGCATTGAGCTTACTGGGAGAACCAAACACGAATAAAGACCTGCTGGTACCCGATTGGGGATCGCTTGGTACCGTTTTGCAGTTAAAAGATGGTTATAAGCTACATGTGACGAGGAGAGATCCGCCATCGATGAAAGGCGGCTGAAAAGTGGGGGATTCATTTTGTCTGTGAAGGTGATGATGAGTATGAGGGAGATGAAGAGTCATTAAATGAATGCCAGCAATCCTTGTCAGAAAAACTGGCCGCGGCTCGTTGAAGAAGGCGACTGCACCTGCACTCTTGAAAAAGAAGGAAGCGCTTCTGAATCTAGTTCTTGTGCAGATGAAGAAACAGTTCAAGAAACCAAAACAAGTGAACAAAGATTATCATTATACGATGGAGAGTAATTTTTCTTGCTTCGTAGTGCTCTCTCTTGTCTTTCTGTCGTTGAGTTGGTTGTGGTTCTTGTATCTATGAACTTAAAACAGGCTGGTAGGTATCCTTTTGTGCCCGAGCTTCTGCACCCGAGGTCTTGTATTCGATTCTCCCCTCCCCTCCATTATGCTTTTGTCGAAAAACACTTTGATAGTGCCCCTTGATCTACTACTTATTTTGATTGAAATTTCCATTTTAAGCCAAACTACATTATCGAGCCAGCGCACATTGAAGAATGAGGCAAAAACCTTGAACATTATCGCAATCAATTGACAGAAGTTATAAGTTAGGGCTTCTTACAGCTCACATCACAAAAATGTGGGACGAATATACAACCTCGACCTCGAGCGAGAAAACACTTCGTCATCAACAGCGAAAAACGGTCGAAATGTGGTTTCTCTTACACTGGAAGAGAATGCTCTTCACTAAGTTGATTTAAATCATGTAAATGTACAACCTGGATATACCACTACAGTTTCTGAAGACGTAAAAACAGATACTGGATATATATCAAAAGAGCTAGAACTACGGGTGATACGGCACGGGGCTAATTACAAATTTTCCTACGCCTCAACGTCAAAATGATAATTTATACAAGAATCTTCTCAATCCAGTTTATTTCTTTTTCGCTGTTCTTTTCAAGCTGGCTCTCCGAGCGACATCCCATGCTTTTTGAGGGGCATGGACTCCCAGCTGGGAAGCAAAAAATGATTCGTATCCAGGAGAGTCAAAAGCAAACCCTGTGTGTTTTGATACCTCCCGAGGGAGTTGCGCTACGGCAAAGCTCCTGGCCTCAGCTGGGGTGAGCTGGTTTCCGATTTCCAGTAAATCATCCCTGCTTCTACCTTCGGGCTCATGCCTGTGAATTTCCTGAATTATCTGATAATCGAAAGGAAAGAACCATCTCTGGATCCTGGATAAAAAAACCATCGGTTATTTCATCAATGATAAATGGAAAACCAACCCGTACCTATTGAAAAGCTGCAGATTGCAACAGAGATCTCATTTTCTTACCCTTGGTAAACGAAGTCGCCAAAAAGTGCAAAAACTGGGACTAGAAGAAGTGTCAGGTAGAAATAGAAGGTACTCATCAGGACATATATGACGTAATAAAGATTTCTCTGCAATAAAAATAAATAATTTAATATCTCAAATATTTCGATAAAAAACTCAAAAGAACAAACCAAATACGAACATAAGAATACCCACCTTCTGGTCTATGATACAATATATGAAGATGAATATAAACCATGCTGCGAGGCTTCCTCCAACACTAATATAATGCCACCTTGTGATTGAATTGCACATCATAAGCAAACGAAAGTTGACGGTCACTACAACACAAGTAAAGGCCATTGTGCTGACATCCCAAAGTCCAAACATCTTTCCGGATGAATTTTGACCACGATCACTTGAGGAAGTTACAAAATAATAGAAGATTAAAGATTGGTAAACGGAGAAGAAAGCCCATATTGCCACAACCCTCCATTTGAAAAAGGCATTTCTTATTCCCTCCCTGTATAGTTCAGGGTACTTCTTGGAGAGGGCTGCACTGACATCCTGATAAAGAAAGCTGACACTCATAAAAAAAGTTTATACGCCTCATCCACTAAAAAAGCAACGCCCAAATAATAATTCTCCCAGACGCAATTTAAAAATAAATGGCATTATTGAGTGCGTGGACAGATATGATACCTTGTCAAAAAGCCCAACGATGATTACAGGCAAGGCTGTGAATATGACATTATACAATGACTGAAACCAATCATCGTAGAATCTTTGACCAGAAAATCCAGTTTGAAAGGTGAACCAAAATTGAGTCAACGTGAATGTAAGATTCTTGTAAAAGAAGTATGTAACAACCTGAAAAATGCAATAAGATTTGTCAAACTCGTAACCACCCTACAGATGTTAAAGTTTTGGAAGTTGCAAGAAATCCATACCTTGCATAATCTAATATATGACCACCGTCCATGCACAAGCAATAAATCAGTAAGAAAGCGGAACTGGGCAATAGCAAAATCACTAGCCATCACTGCTTGCATTCCTTCTTGCCCACTTATTCCAACGCCAACATGAGCAGCTTGGATCATGCTCACATCATTGGCACCATCACCAATGCTCAGTGTTATCTTCTTTGCACCCTTTTTTACCATACTTGTCACCTGAAGACAGTGGCAATGCTTCAAGTGAACTACATAATTTCACTTTTAAAATATGAAACTTCTAAATATTATATATATTAGACAGTCAAAATTTTAAGAACAAAAACTAGTTTCCTAATGCTTCTCTTGTGAAGATATTCTTGACGAAGTTGGGGTTCCACCATGAAACCAATTGCCAATATGGGTAGAGCCCAACTAATTATAAGCACATGCAAGGTCCCTCCTCTCATCAATGTGGGATTCATTCTCAACATGCCCCCCTCACGTGTGGTGAATTTCCAAGCCTAACGAACAACACAACTCAGGTGAAATGGAGCACGTGTGGCCATTTGACTTCACGCATAAAACAACCTGCTCTGATACCATGAAGAAGTTGAGGATCCACCATAAAACTAATTGGCGATATAGGGAGTAGCCCAACACATGATTCATAAAACAGAAATGCATAAAGGTTCTTGACTTCATAGACTTATTACTAAAACACATAATGTTAAGAGTTGAAATCCATTGGAAACTCACCTGTGCTTTCTGCAAAGGAGAAACTCGACAGCAAACAACTGAGTTACAATTCAAGCTCAAGTTGAGTAGCGTCACTCGTAGACTGGGGTCTAAGGCATACATCAAGCACTTCCCATCTATTACAAGTGCTAGTTTTGGTGCAGACACACTGTGAAGATAGTTTTGCGCTTCCTCGAGGCACCTTTTTAGGTCTTTTTTGACTTCTTCTTTAATGACACGTGCAATTTCCATTTGGTCTCCCTAACGCCAGAATCAGAACGTATTATGCAAACGGCAATTATTGTGGCTGATAGTGATTTTTAATGTATGTACAGGCTAAACGTGCAAGCTATATATTTTTTGCTTACCCTGTCCTCAACTTCCCTAATCACATCAGTTTCTGAACTGATAATAAACTGTTTCATTTCATTGTTGATCAAATTACATGCTGCAGCAAATTTAAGAAAACAAAAGATAATGTTATCACAGAGAGAGAGAGAGAGAGAGAATGTGAAGGGAATAAAGAAGCACCAGCTCTCATAAGATACCACTCACCATAAGCTATATTTATTGCAGTTTCCATCTTGTCCCCTGTTAGCACCCAAATCTTAATACCAGCTCTTGATAGAGTCTCTATGCAATTTGGGACTCCTTCTTGAAGCTTATCTTCGATGGCAGTGCATCCAATCAAAATGAGATCTTTCTCTATAATTTCTGCCACCTTCATTGATTTCAAAATAATTTTGCAATGATTGAACATTAACATCACTAAAAATAAACACTGAAAGAGAGAGGAGGGGGCGGGGGTTGGTAAAACAAAAACAAAATGGATCATAGAAGAATAAAACAGAAAACAACTCGAAGAAATAAAGCTAATGAAGTTATAACAGTTCACGCCAAATCTAGAAAGTCACACCCCTTTACTACCAAAACCAGATTCAACAGAACATACCTCATCCAACTTCTTTTCACGGTCCCGTAGTGAGGATTTAGCCTGAATAAATTTCTCATTCCAGCTTTCATATGTATCAGGACTTAAATCTCTACAGGCCAAGCAAAGAGTACGTAATCCAGCAGATCCAAATAATTCCAAGTGTTCCCTAGATACTTTTTTCAAATCATCTTGTCCATCAGCCAATCTCTCGTAGATTACATTATCAGCACCCTGTCAATAACAGGTTCCTGACTTAATGTCAATTTATTTGCCAACTGCTCAGCAATTTCATCAAATATAAAAGCCCAATAAGCTATTACCTTGCAGTACAAAACAAGCCTGCCATCTGTGTAACGGCATACAACAGACTGACGCTTCCTTGTACTAGTTAAGCAACAGATATGTAATAAATGTTAGTCAATCAACCCTGAAATTATAAAAGTACCATGGCCCAAAAAATAAAAGTGAACAAATGTGTTCGAGGACATAACCCACCTATTAAATTCAAGCACATTGAGAATCTCGTAAGACACACCTTGAACTGTACCGATTTTCTCAGTGTGAGATTCACGAATATATATCGTCGTCGGTGTACGTCTGAGAAAAAAGGAAGATATCAACCTTAAATAAGCTGGACTAATTGATAACAGCTCTCTCAAGGCACTTCTAGCAGAACCAGAAAAAAGAATGGAGAGCAACATTATTAGCACACAAAAAAATAGAAAAAAAAAAGACGCAATTCAAACACTTGAAATATAGATCAGATGGAAACAAATTCATGGATCAAATAAAAATAGTTTGGTGTTATCTGATGTGACCAAACCGAACCTCCCTTCACACATCTGTCACTATGTGGCTTAAAATATAGACAAGTATGACAAATAGCAATCCCAGTCAATAGGACAGAAATGAGAAGTGTATACCTGTGAAAGAAGAAGCCAAAGTTCTTTGCAGCAATTACCAAAGCAGACTCATCAGGGGATGCAGCTTGATATGTGATTTTTTCTGGGGACTCTTCACCCTCAGGAAGCACTGTGTGACATATAGCAAGGCATCTGAAGAATTCCTACCAATAGAACAAAAACTATCAATAAAAGTATCAAAGCTAAGAATTTATGATATGCCTTCATGATATGTCAGAGAATCAGAGATACACTAATTCAGTTGTCGCAAGAATAATTCTGTATGGAATTCGCTCAAAGAAAATAAACTTCCATAGACCATAAAGACCATAAAACAAGATGGCAAGGAGAAAAACTACAACAGAGCCCAAACAGCTATCATAATCCCCCAAAACAAAAGGAGAAAAAGAACTTCCAACATTGAGCATGCTACATGTAGCTCCACTCCACAGTAATGATGAAGATATTTCATTATACTTCTACAACAACAACAACAACAAAGCCTTTTCCCACTAAGTGGGGTCGGCTATATGAATCCTAGAACGCCATTGCGCTCGGTTTTGTGTCATGTCCTCCGTTAGATCCAAGTACTCTAAGTCTTTTCTTAGAGTCTCTTCCAAAGTTTTCCTAGGTCTTCCTCTACCCCTTTGGCCCTGAACCTCTGTCCCGTAGTCACATCTTCGAACCGGAGCGTCAGTCGGCCTTCTTTGCACATGTCCAAATCATCGGAGCCGATTTTCTCTCATCTTTCCTACAATTTCGGCTACTCCTACTTTACCTCGGATATCCTCATTCCCAATCTTATCCTTTCTCGTGTGCCCACACATCCCACGAAGCATCCTCATCTCCGCTACACCCATTTTGTGTACGTGTTGATGCTTCACCGCCCAACATTCTATGCCATACAACATCGCTGGCCTTATTGCCGTCCTATAAAATTTTCCCTTGAGCTTCAGTGGCCTACGACGGTCACACAACACGCCGGATGCACTCTTACACTTCATCCATCCAGCTCGTATTCTATGGTTGAGATCTCCATCTAATTCTCCGTTCTCTTGCAAGATAGATCCTAGGTAGCGAAAACGGTCGCTTTTTGTGATCTTCGCTAGATTGCTCCGGTCATTAGTGTGGATAAGTATATAAATGGATAGAGATAGGAAAGCAAACACAAGATGTACGTGGTTCACCCAGATTGGCTACGTCCACGGAATAGAAGAGTTCTCATTAATTGTGAAGGGTTTACACAAGTACATAGGTTCAAGCTCTCCTTTAGTGAGTACAAGTGAATGATTTAGTACAAATGACATTAGGAAATATTGTGGGAGAATGATCTCGTAATCACGAAATTTCTAAGTATCGGAGTGTGGTGTCGTCTTGACTTGCCTTATCTGTCTCATAGGTAGATGTGGCATCTTCTCTGGAAGTACTCTTCCTCCATCCAGGGGTGGTATCTTTAACTGGTGGGGATGCACAAGGTAATGTATCAATTTCACTTGAAGCTTACTTGTAGTCTCAGGCTTGGTCAAGCGCGATACAAACCATGTAGTAGGAGTCCTCCAAGTCGCCGAGCTAGGGGGTCTGCTGAAAGAGGTGACAGACAAGGTAAGCAATCAGAGCTCCGACTGATTGTTCACCTTCTCCCCATCTTGCAGCAGCATGAAGGATAAAGAGAAGAAAAATGAGAAGAGATGATATGAGATACTTTTGCTTTTGAAGAAGTAACTTTCCACAGGCTTATTCTTGAACTGAGCTGGAGGGTTTTCTGGTTTCCTCCAGAGTATAAGGCCGACTGAAGAATTTGAGGGTCAAAACAAGTCCATCAAATCTAGAGTACGTTCCACCCTGCTGATATGGGATACTTTTGCTTTTGACAGAGTAATGGGTGTATCGGCACGTGTGCTGTTACGCTTGTCTCCACATGCTTCCTTGTATCCTTCGCACTTGCCCTATCTGTTCCTCAAGCAGATGCGGAATCTTCCCTGGAAACATAAGATGTTGAAGATGAGTACTCGAGAGCAATGCCAGGTAAGTAATCAGGTAAGGGGTTCCAGGCAGTCAGTTCCTGGCTGGAAGCTTGATCCAAGTGCTGACTGATTGCTCTCTTTCTCCTTGTCTTGCAGGTAAAAACAAGGCCAAAGGAAAAGACAGGGAAAAAGCATGATATGGGATACTCTTGCTTTTAACCCTGATGATATGAGATATTCTTGCTCTAGTATAGCTTGTTTGCAGAGGTATTATCGGGGGGAAAGAAAGCTGAATATTTCGAAAGCCTTCGTTGGGAGTGCCCTCTCAGATATGATGAAGGGTTAAGCATTTTTGCAGGTCTGCCTGTCCGTTGGGGATGGAGGTCGACATATATAGGAGTCTCCCTAACAAGAAGTAGTAATGCTATTCCTTTACCCTGCTTGGTCATAGCACGGTAGTGGGAGCTGCCAGTTTCACATGTTTTAACTCTGTCAGAGCACTTTGAAAAAGTGGTCTGTGGTATCTGGCTCTCGAGATTCGGAGAACGATGCCTCTTCGATTTTTGAGAAAGCAATCATGCTGGGGGTCTGGCTCTCGAGATTCGTAGAGCAGTGTCTCTTCGATTTTTGAGGAAGTAATCATGTTGGGAGTCTGGCTCTCGAGATTCGTAGGGCGGTGCCTCTTCGATTTTGGAGCAAGCAATCCTGTTGGGAGTGTTGTCTCGAATGTGAGTAAAGGTTGGGCATGTTTGCTAGTCTACCTTGCCACGAAGCACAAAGGTTGACACACACAGACTTTCCAATTATCCAGCAATGGTACTGTTCCTTTACCCTCTCTTCGCTTTTGAGAAAGTAGTCATGTTGGGAGTCTGGCTCTCGAGATTCGGAGGACGGTGCCTCTTCGATTTTGGAGCAAGCAATCTTGTTGGGAGTGTTTTCTCGAAAGTGAGTAAAGGTTGGGCATGTTTGCTAGTCTACCTTGTCACGAAGCACAGAGGTTGACACACAGGGACTTTCCAATTATCCAGCAGTGGTACTGTTCCTTTACCCTTGTGGTAATAATATGGTAGCTAGACCTTCAAAATTTATGTGTCTAAACTTTGTTAGTGCTGTTTCTTTGCTATTCTTTTACCTTTCTTGGTCAGAGAGCGATGTAGTGGGAGCTGCAAGCTTCACGTGCTCAACTTTGGCAGAGAACTTTGGCAAAGTTATCTGTGGTACCCATGAGCTATTGTTGCGTGTGGGAAGTGGGTGATTGAACAGTAAGATTCATGTGCTTTCTACTTCACCAGAAGTCTTCGACAGAATGCCCATAATTTTCTGCAAAGCTGAGTGTGCGTGTGACAGGTGCTGACAAGGCTAGAAAAGTAGGTGCCTCTTCGATTTCTGAGATCGGCCCTCGTGGTCTCTGAGCAGCCCAGCTTTTGAGAAAGCGAGCGCCTCTTCGATTGATTCGGAGGACGATGCCTCATCGATTTTTGAGAAAGCAATCATGCTGGGGGTCTGGCTCTCGAAGATTCGGGGAGCAGTGTCTCTTCGATTTTTGAGAAAGTAATCACGTTGGGAGTCTGGCTCTCGAGATTCAGAGGGCGGTGCCTCTTCGATTTTGGAGCAAGCAATCTTGTTGGGAGTGTTTTTCTCGAATGTGAGTAAAGGTTGGGCATGTTTGCTAGTCTACCTTGCCACGAAGCACAGAGGTTGACACACAGGGACTTTCCAATTATCCAGCAATGGTACTGTTCCTTTACCCTCTCTTCGATTTTTAAAGAAAGTAGTCATGTTGGGAGTCTGGCTCTCGAGATTCGGAGGACGGTGCCTCTTCGATTTTGGAGCAAGCAATCTTATTGGGAGTGTTTTCTCGAATGTGAGTAAAGGTTGGGCATGTTTGCTAGTCTACCTTGCCACGAAGCACAGAGGTTGACACACAGGGACTTTCCAATTATCCAGCAGTGGTACTGTTCCTTTACCCTTGTGGGTAATAATATGGTAGCTAGACCTTCAAAATTTATGGGTCTAAACTTTGTTAGTGCTGTTTCTTTGCTATTCTTTTACCCTTCTTGGTCAGAGCGATGTAGTGGGAGCTGCAAGCTTCACGTGCTCAACTTTGGCAAAGAACTTTGGCAAAGTTATCTGTGGTACCCATGAGCTATTGTTGCGTGTGGGAAGTGGGTGATTGAACAGTAAGATTCATGTGTTTTCTACTTCCCCAGAAGTCTTCGACAGAATGCCCATAATTTCTGCAAAGCTGAGTGTGCGTGTGACGGGTGCTGACAAGGCTGGAAAAAGTAGGTGCCTCTTCGATTTCTGAGATCGGCCCTCGTGGTCTCTGGGGAGCCCAGCTTTTGAGAAAGCGAGCGCCTCTTCGATTTCTGAGATCGGCCTTCGTGGTCTTTGAGCAGCCCAACTTTTGAGAAAGCAAACGCCTCTTCGATTTCTGAGATCAACCCTCGTGATCTCTAAGCAGCCCAGCTTTTGAGAAAGCAAACGCCTCTTCGATTTCTGAGCAGGCGCCTCTTCGATTTCCGAAGCTCCATCGAGTGCAGATTTTTATAGAGGCTGACATTAAGTTCCAAAGCACACTTGAATCTCCACCAATAGAAGCTTCATTCTTGCACTTCTAAGATCTTGATTTGTCCGACCTCTTCTCTCTTCAACACCTTTGAAAATGTCTGGCCCCTCCGACCGTCGTTTTGACTTGAACCTTGTTGAAGAGGCAGCCCCGCCTTCTCCAGACAACATATGGCGCCCATCCTTCGTCTCCCCTACTGGTCCTCTTACCGTTGGGGATTCCGTGATGAAGAATGATATGACCGCTGCGGTGGTGGCCAGGAACCTTCTCACTCCCAAAGATAACAGACTACTTTCCAAACGGTCTGATGAGTTAGCTGTTAAGGATTCGCTGGCTCTCAGTGTTCAGTGTGCAGGTTCTGTGTCTAATATGGCCCAACGCCTATTTGCTCGAACCCGCCAAGTTGAATCCTTGGCGGCTGAAGTGATGAGTCTCAAACAGGAGATTAGAGGGCTCAAGCATGAGAATAAACAGTTGCACCGGCTCGCACATGACTATGCTACAAACATGAAGAGGAAGCTTGACCAGATGAAGGAAACTGATGGTCAGGTTTTACTTGATCATCAGAGATTTGTGGGTTTGTTCCAAAGGCATTTATTGCCTTCGTCTTCTGGGGCTGTACCGCGTAATGAAGCTCCGAATGATCAACCTCTGATGCCTCCTCCTTCTAGGGTTCAGTCCAGTACTGAGGCTCCAAATGATCCCCCTCCGGTGCCTTCTCTTTCTGGGGCTCTACCGACTGCTGAGACTTCTCCTAAGCAACCTTTGTGAAGGCTCCGTCTTGTGTGTTTATTTTGACTCATGTATATGTACATATTTGTAGCTGATATCGGGGATATCAATAAATAAGCTTTCCTTCATTTCAACGTATTGTGTTAAATACACCAAAGCCTTCTTCGCTAAGTTCTTTGAATTTTCTTTTGTTGAAGCTTGTATGTTGAAGCTTTCTGAGTGGAGCATGTAGGTTGGGGGTAGTGTTCCCTTAATTTCCCGAGTGAGGAAAACTTCTCGATTGGAGACTTGGAAAATCCAAGTCACTGAGTGGGATCGGCTATATGAATCTTAGAACGCCATTGTGCTCGATCCTGTGTCATGTCCTCCGTTAGATCCAAGTACTCTAAGTCTTTTCTTAGAGTCTCTTCCAAAGTTTTCCTAGGTCTTCCTCTACCCCTTCGGCCCTGAACCTCTGTCCCATAGTCGCATCTTCTAATCGGAGCGTCAGTAGGCCTTCTTTGCACATGTCCAAACCACCGTAACCGATTTTCTCTCATCTTTCCTTCAATTTCGGCTACTCCTACTTTACCCCGGATATCCTCATTCCTAATCTTATCCTTTCTCGTGTGCCCACACATCCAACGAAGCATCCTCATCTCCGCTACACACCCATTTTGTGTACGTGTTGATGTTTCACCGCCCAACATTCTGTGCCATACAGCATCGCCGGCCTTATTGCCGTCCTATAAAATTTTCCCTTGAGCTTCAATGGCATACGGCGGTCACACAACACACCGGATGCACTCTTCCACTTCATCCATCCAGCTTGTATTCTATGGTTGAGATCTCCATCTAATTCTCCGTTCTTTTGCAAGATAGATCCTAGGTAACGAAAACGGTCGCTTTTTGGTATTTCTTGATCTCCGATCCTCACCCCTAACTCGTTTTGGCCTCCATTTGCACTGAACTTGCACTCCATATATTCTGTCTTTTGATCGGCTTAGGCGAAGACCTTTAGATTCCAACACTTCTCTCCAAAGGTTAAGCTTTGCATTTACCCCTTCCTGAGTTTCATCTATCAACACTATATCGTCTGCGAAAAAGCATACACCAAGGAATATCATCTTGAATATGTCCTGTTAACTCATCCATTACCAACGCAAAAAGGTAAGGACTTAAGGATGAGCCTTGATGCAATCCTACAGTTATGGGGAAGCTTTCGGTTTGTCCTTCATGAGTTCTTACGGCAGTCTTTGCTCCTTCATACATATCCTTTATAGCTTGGATATATGCTACTCGTACTCCTTTCTTCTCTAAAATCCTCCAAAGAATGTGTCTCTTGGGACCCTATCATACGCTTTTTCCAAATCTATAAAGACCATGTGTAAATCCTTTTTCCCATCTCTATATCTTTCCATCAATCTTCGTAAGAGATAGATTGCCTCCATGGTTGAGCGCCCTGGCATGAACCCGAATTGGTTGTCCGAAACCCGTGTCTCTTGCCTCAATCTATGCTCAATGACTCTCTCCCAGAGCTTCATTGTATGACTCATTAGCTTAATACCCCTATAGTTCATGCAATTTTGTACGTCGCCCTTGTTCTTGTAGATAGGCACCAAAGTGCTCGTTCGCCACTCATTTGGCATCTTCTTCGTTTTTCAAAATCCTATTGAAAAGGTCAGTGAGCCATGTTATACCTGTCTCTCCCAAAAGTTTCCACACTTCGATTGGTATATTGTCTGGGCCTATTGCTTTTTTATGCTTCATCTTCTTCAAAGCTACAACCACTTCTTCCTTCCGGATTCGACGATAAAAAGAGTAGTTTCTACACTCTTCTGAGTTACTCAACTCCCCTAAAGAATCACTCATTTCATGTCCTTCATTGAAAAGATTATGAAAATAACCTCTCCATCTGTCTTTAACCGCGTTCTCTGTAGCAAGAACCTTTCCATCCTCATCCTTGATGCACCTCACTTGGTTTAGGTCCCTTGTCTTCTTTTCCCTTGCTCTAGATAGTTTATAGATATCCAACTCTCCTTCTTTGGTATCTAGTCGTTTATACATATCGTCGTAAGCCGCTAACTTAGCTTCTCTGACAGCTTTTTTCGCCTCTTGCTTCGCTTTTCTATACTTTTCACCATTTTCATCGGTCCTCTCCTTGTATAAGGCTTTACAACATTCCTTCTTAGCCTTCACCTTTGTTTGTACCTCCTCATTCCACCACCAAGATTCCTTTTGGTGTGGGGCAAAGCCCTTGGACTCTCCTAATACCTCTTTTGCTACTTTTCGGATACAACTAGCCATGGAATCCCACATTTGGCTAGCTTCCCCCTCTCTATCCCACACACATTGGGTGATTACCTTCTCTTTGAAAATGACTTGTTTTTCTTCTTTTTAGATTCCACCATCTAGTCCTTGGGCACTTCCAAGTCTTGTTCTTTTGTCTTACTCTTTTGATATGTACATCCATCACCAACAAGCGATGTTGATTAGCCACGCTCTCTCCTGGTATAACTTTGCAATCCTTACAAGTTATACGATCCCCTTTCCTCATTAGAAGAAAATCTATTTGTGTTTTTGACGACCCACTCTTGTAGGTGATCACATGTTCTTCTCTCTTCTTAAAGAAGGTGTTGGCTAAGAAGAGATCATATGCCATTGCAAAATCCAAGATAGCTTCCCCATCCTCGTTTCTCTCCCCAAAACCATGGCCACCATGAAAACCTCCATAGTTGCCTGTCTCCCTGCCCACGTGTCCATTTAAATCTCCTCCTATAAATAACTTCTCCGTCTGAGCAATTCCTTGCACCAAGTCTCCAAGATCTTCCCAAAATTTCTCCTTCGAACTCGTATCCAACCCTACTTGAGGTGCGTACGCACTAATCACATTGATAAGTTCTTGTCCTATTACAATCTTGATTGCCATGATTCTATCTCCTACCCTCTTGACATCTACAACATCTTGTACCAAGGTCTTGTCCACGATGATGCCAACACCGTTTCTCGTTCTATTTGTGCCCGAATACCAAAGTTTAAACCCTGAGTTTTCTAGATCCTTTGCCTTACTACCAACCCACTTAGTTTCTTGTAGGCACATAATATTTATCCTTCTCCTCACCATAACTTTCACTACTTCCATAGATTTTCCCGTTAAGGTTCCTATATTCCACGTTCCTAAACGCATTTTGCTCTCTTGAACTCTACCCTTCTGTCCTAGCTTCTTCACCCTCCCCCGTCTAATAGGATCAAAGTACTTCTTTTGTGTGTCCCGGGTAAAGTTGATAGGAGCATATGCTCCCAAACAACTTTGAGTGGAGTCGTTCGAAAAGAAGTTTCTATGGCCCCCTTGCTCATTTAACACTGCATCCGGGTGCCGATGGAGATGCAGCGACCCTTGCTCACTTATCACTGTGCTCAGGCCACACAGCGCGCCACTTACGGGTGACGCCCTAGCTTTAGCGCGATTTTGTTCTGGATTCATTTTCATAAGGATTCGACGTGATCATGGAGTGCCGGCTGTCGACTACCTGACGCCCTCCCCCTCCTCCTTTATCCGGGCTTGGGACCGGCCATGTAAGACATAGGCGGAGTTTTCATTATACTTCTAGCAAATAAAAAAATCTACCTTACAAAGATCAGGATTAGGCTCATTCCTCCAACCTCCTCGCATAAGCTTAGGATCATCAAAGTTGAATCCCTTCTCATGGGCTGCGTTGCCTGAATTGTAACCCTGTAGTGAAATCATAATTTCATTAAGAGGAAGATTTTTTCATTTCATATCTAACATAATTATACCATTTATATATATATATATATATGTACACACACAGAGAGTGAAATATACCTCAACAAGTTTATACCATTCCGCTCTGCTATTCCCCTTTCAATTTCAGTGATACCAGTTCCATAGACCTCCCCTCCAATTGAACACTTAAAGAACTCCATCAAGTTTCTTGTTAGGGTTCCAGTTTTATCAGAAAAAATGTATTCCACCTGACCAAAGAATAGACTGTCAAGTTGTCACCCTCAACAAAAGCATTATAAGAGCAAATTGATAGAGATTTCAATAAACATTCCTCTGGGATACTAAAACAATGTAAATCTTTCAGTAAATTGGTGTATACAAGTACGTCCGTATTTAAAAAAAAAAAAACAAATTCCTTTTTTCAAACACCTATTAATTATTCGTTGAATTGCATGTTTTTTAAAACTCCAACATACAATACACGTATTATACATGTACGTACGTACTTTTCATGTTTAAACCACGTTATTTTCACAAAGTTGCTGAATAATACAATTACGTTCTTTTCACGTAATATACCCGTTCCGTATTTTACTAACTATGATAAATTGTAATATAACAATATAAAGTAAACGAAAATAGTAAACAAATAATTGTTTTTCCTAGAATAAATTAGTGAGAAAAAACCTTGCGCTCCACAATTAAAATGCCAATATGGGATTAACTTACCTGTCCAAGTTCTTCATTCAAATTTGACGTCCTAGCCAAGGCAGGGGTATTGCTTTCGACATGGTACATACGCAAGTCATTATTGATATATTGGGTAGACTGGATAAATTTGATCATCTGCAATAGATAAAATAATTTTAATAGAATTTTCAACCCATCAAAAAGTGAATATTTAAGTAGCAGGTAGATGCAGCGTCGAGCAAAGAAACTTGCCTCAATGGAAACATAAAGAGAAATAGGGATTATTGTTGAGTACAGAGTAATGAGGGTAAACATCGTCAGAATGATAACCTATAAGACCAATAAACAACATAAGCAAAAAGAAATAGTACAGCATGAATCGATTAAAAGAAATCTACTCTACAGCAATTGTTCTGCTGAAGCAAGAATGTTACCAGAAAACGGTTATTAGGGTCAAACGAGCTGTATGCAATTGCTGAGTCGCCGCTCTTTTTTCCCCAGAGACCTAAGTAGTAGTACTTGCGGTTGATGAATACACCACTATAGAATTACATAAACCAGAAACATCATCATGATGCGGAAAAATTATGTAAAGAATTTGAGTGGTAATATAAATTCCAAAGGAAAATACATAATCAAATTACTGGATAGCATATTCTCATACCTGCCGATAGCTCCAATCAAACACAACATAAAGAGAAAAGCAAAAAGCGCGAGTATAAGTTTGTCAAGTTTCCTCTCCAGTGTACTTCTTTTCGAAGGAACATTCATGGCATTCATCATAACCTGCAATAACCAAAATAGAAAATTATCAATAGTTCGCAAGTATGGACAGAAAATACAAAAGCAAGAGGGAGGTACCAATAGAATAAGAGGAATAGGACAAGTAAAAGAAGCATGTGTAAGACAATAGCACAAAAGTACTTTTTCTGAAAGAGAATCCAAGTCACAAACATCTACTGAAGTAAACATATGTAAACATAAAGAGAATCCAAGTCACAAACATCTACTGACAGACAAAGAGGGAAACTAATCCAAGAATTCATGTTTACTACACTCTACATATGTAAACATAAAGGGTGGGAGTTAAAAATAGAGGCATTTAATTTACTCCACTTCATGACAACATACCTTGGTTTCATGACCTGTAAATATAACAGTCGCAACAATGTACTCAGTATTCCTGAGACTGCAACCCTGTAAAAACATAGCAAAGTCCCAATTCCAATGAGTTTCCCAGGTCAGTTTCACAAGTCGATACAAGAGTCGAAATCAAATCAAACAAACAATACAAGACCATTACGGATCAATAATACAAAGATTAACATAATTCACAATTCTATAACTATTAGTGAAGAAAAAAAATTCATGCACACCAACTAGTTCCATAGAAAATTGAAATGCAAGATAGTAATACATAGACCATTTTAATCAGCTGCAAGAGTAACTTTACATTGAAAAAATGGGCGCAAAATCCATGAGAAGCTATTAAAATCACGTTCTAAAATAAATTCCAATACTGAGAAACAAAAAGACATATCATACTCGCAGCAGAATTTGGTTTGGAGATAGAGGTAATGTCTGCTTGTCAATAATGAGATTTCCAGTGTAGGTGTACAATGAATTGTTAGGTTGTTCACACTGCACTTCTCCTGCAATGAATTAAACATTCATCACAACCGCAACAAATGACTTGTCAATTTAGCAATCAAATTTCATACCCATCGCATTTAACAAGATTACTTGGATCATTGTTTGAAGCACACTCAAGTATGTGAATGTACAATTCTAAAGACTTGCTGAACAGCAGGTTAACAGGAAATACTAAACCTTTGAATTCAGATGCTTTGTCAGGAGTCGAGTAATCCCAAGTCTTTTCTAATGCTTTTCTGATCTTCAAATTAGTTTCCCCATCCAAATTTGCAGTCTGTTACCCAAAAAAAAAACAAAAAAAAAACAAAACAAAACAAAACAAAACAAAAATTTACTTATTATTTATTTCAAAAAATGGTGACTCCATCCATGTTAAACATGCATGACTGAATATTCAAAAACTAAAAGATATGAAAGAATCAAGAACCTCAATGTAGCAGACACCATCTGGGTTTGTACCAGCAAGAAAAAGCAGATCTGCAGGGAAATATCCGTTCTGCTTAATCTAAAACCAATACAAAACATCAGCTTCTAGGTAGTGCCAGATAACATTCTTTTTTTTAATGGAAACAACATGCAAATGTACAACAGAACAATTCAAACGTTTAAAAGAAAGACAGCCAACATCCAAGACAATATGAATCAATTATCTTCTGATTGCTAGAAAAAAATCATCATGACCATATAAAGCATTACTCAATTCCATGTTTCTAAAACTTTGGGCAGCAGGGGGGAGAAATGAAAGTTAGTTGTAATGGGAATTTCCAACCTTCTTAGCCATCACAGGACCAAGTTTATTTAAACACGTCATCACATTGAAGAGTTACCATTCAAGAGAACTTCCAACCAATTCAACTATCGTATGATCATGTTTGGCCACATCATCAACATGACAATACCTCTCCAATAGCAACAATCTCTATTGCTCTATAGTGCCAATTCAACTATTGCATAATTATTTACGCACACATCATCTACATGCCAACAAGACCATGCATCAGCTGGACTAAAGCACTGAGTAGTTTCTATCTCCCACCACCCTTGTTGCCACAAAGAAAAATCAACTCCCACAGAACTGGGTTGTAAAAAGCGCCAATAATCATGGAGACTTGTTTATCCATAGAAAAATCTCAAAACATCATATGACATAGCAAAACCTCCCAATACAAAGCAAAGTCTTTAATGAAGGAAGCTCGGATACGATAATTCACAAGCCTTTAAAGTTCTATCACAATGGCAGGCAAATGGGCCATAAAAAATGATGGGAATAGAAGATAAATGAATAATATGACAAACTGGAGAAAAACAATCAGCAGAAAATGAATAGATGCACCATAAGGTGAAAACGACATGATACTCAAATGTTTATATGATAAATGGGAATTTTTTTCCTGCCCCAGGGTTGGGTGGGTAAGGTTTTACAACATACAACAACCATCATCATCCACAGGAGTTACAACCAATATCCATGTTACAGCATAACACAATAACCTTATAGAAGTGCCTATATCATATTATGGCACATCAAATGCATATCCATAAGGAAACATAAGCAAGCAGTACACTCACCCTGACAATATCTCCAACCTGCAACTTTTTCCAGGGAATACTTTCCCATTTCTGATCTTGCAAGACATCAACAGAAGCATTATTTATGGTCATATCATTCTGGAAGCGCTTCTGTTTAACATAAATTCAAAATAAAAAGGTACATAGTTAATCATTCGTCCTTGCTTTCATACTTAACTGCATAAGTGATAGATAAAACTTCACACCGCAGCTATCACAGAGAGAAAAGGTTGATATTGGCAATACAGAAAAACAAAAAAGGTTATGCTAAAAATCAAGGTTGCATGATATAATAGGCAGACTGGTACTCACCCAATCCTCAAATGCTTCCTTAACAAGAGAAACAAAAAGCACCAAACTCAGAGGGACCACATTGGTTACAGGATGCACAGGACTGCAATATTAGACATACTTGAAAACGTTATGCTTAGAATTGTAACAATTATTATTATTATAAATTAATTTATTAGAGGTAAACCAATTGAAGTCAGTACCCTTTCATATTCAGAGATGCCAAAGCAAATTTGTAAGCAATATTTCCAAAGTGCACGTAAGTGTGTTAATAACAAATCAAAGAACCCAAACTGAAGAAAAATAGGGTGCAGTCATCTCTTTTTTATTTTCAGAAACTTAAACAGACTTCCACTTAAAAATGTGTGTAACTGAATGCGAAAAATAAATAAAATAACATTGGCATCTCCTCTACTGAGGTGCGTTTTCCACTTCATACACGTTTTCTTGTTAAGACCTTACAAAACAAGTACCAAACCAAATAAAGTCAACATACCTGATTGGCGTTGTTGATAGAATTGAGATCGTCAGAAAGTAGAGGTTAGCTACCCGCCTGAACTGTCAGTGTAACAATTTCTCAGGACCATGACAAAATAAAATCATAGGTATTGGCAACTCTAGTCAATTTGTTTATGCATAACGCATAGCAAAATGATATTCCTACACTTCGTCACAAAAAAATCAGATAAGCTTCGAACTGCATCAGCAAGCAGGTTGATTGAAAACTAAAATCAAATGCATTGAAATTGCCCTTAATTTTAAGATTTCCAACTTTATCTACCAAGGGAATGCATTCCTATAAACTTTTCTTATCCATCCAGTCTAATTTTCAGTACACCAAAACAACCATAATAAGATTTAGAACACAAGCTCTGGTTCCAACTTGTCATTAGGTTGGGTCAGAAATTGCCGCACCGAATCATATAATAATTTTAAATTCTAATATAATCATATTCATCTACGTAGTTTGAAGGCCCATGAATTACCTGTTCAAAGAGTCCTTTCGGCAAAAATGTAATGAAGTTGTACTTTGTAGTCGATATAGAATTCCCCTGGAACAATTGAACGCATAATAATTAAAACCGAATACAAACAAAATGAAGTAAGATTTAAAGTGGCAGATAACAGAACATAGATTACATATCCTACACGTTTATACTAATAAACCTGTTGATGGCACGTGGTGGAGGTAAAACAAAATCCTGAAAACATCCACTGTGCTACAATACAAACATATTCTAGATTCTGAGAAGGCCATATCCTAATCTTCTGTTCTACGATCCAGATGAAAATTGGGCAGCTAACAATCTATAAAGTATAACACTATGACTCAATCGACAACAACGAGTTTACCCACATTGATGCTTCTATACAGGCTGATAATCTTTCTCGCCTATTCATATTCCTTTTTGTTGTTTGCAAATTTTAACAATTGTATTAATTAATTAAAAAAGCAGGAACACTCAAAGGAGCTTAAATTTACTTCCACAACAGCATTGTGATTTTTATGAACATTTGTCCTTCCTTAGAACCATGAGGAAGCTTCATTTAGCATAAAAAGCATTTTTATTGAATTTTTTTCCGTTACAATCTCTTCAATACCACACTATCCACCAAAAACCAACAATAATTAACCGCAACTAATTCAACAGAAAGAAAAAATAACGAAAGGTAAAGAAACGGACGTTATCGAAATACGTCAGTGAAGTTCCAATATTCCTGGAGGATAAATTAATAATCCAACATTTCAATTCCAATGATCATTCTAAATTCCGCCATATTTTCTCAGCAACCAAACAGAAAAATTAAAAAATGAGTAAACGGAGAATAAGACAACAAAAGGTAGACAAAATTCGAGTCACCAACCGGGAATCTGACGGGAATGTTATGCTCGCGATCGTTGCAGAAAATCGTGCGGTGACCCGGCGCCTGTGGCTGGACTCTTCCGAGTCGAACCGTCGACGTGCTCCCGGGCGGCAAACTCGAATTGCGACCACCGCCCAGCCTCGCTCCTCTCGAGGACCGATTCCATCCACTCATCTTCGGCCCGATCGGAACTCAAACGACGAGTCTCTTCCAACGAATACTCTCCGATCAGCCCCTCAATCGTCTCCTCCCCTATTTCTCGGCGGTAAACGGTGGTTCAAAACGCTTCGTCGTACGGTGCCAGAGGAAGTGCATGCGCTATTCAACGGCCCCTCAAACATGCTTTCATTTTTCCTCCCTTTTTTTTCTTTTTCTTGTAGACCGCGAATTGGGTAATTTCCACAGCGCGAGTACTCTGTGCGCGTGTGGCGAGATCTGGCGGCTTTCTAGATATGGTGACCGGTGGGGAAACAAGGAGAGGAACTGTGACTCGACGCGCGAGTGAGAGAGCGTGGTGTTTGGAGGGTCAATACTATAAAGCGCAAAGCAGGACCTGGTTCGGATTGAACGAGGGCTAGTTTGGTATTGTCGTGCTTTTTAAAAAAAAAATTGATTCTGCTATGATATGAGAATAAACAGTTGTAAAATAAAGTAGTTGAGTGTTTTGTAAATTTTTATTTTATAAAATTTCTTTTAAGTGTAAAAGTGTTTGGTAAACTTTTATATAAAACTACTATGATTATGTCAAATGACAAAAATGCGTGATATTCAATGTAAAATAAGAATAATTTAATTTATATTTGGCAAAAAATAAAGAATAATAATTTTATTTATTAATACTCTCTCTTGAGTCTTTCTCCTTTATTTTCTCCCTCTGCATTGACTACACTTTTTCAAAAACCAAAAAAATCTCTCTCCAAGTCTCCCCCGCTACCCCAATTTTCTTAGTTTTTATTTTTTTTGCTCTGTCTTCTTCTTTTTTATTTTCATCTCCATGGATTCTGAAGACGTCAACGTTGTGACTATGTTGTCTTTGATGGGTTGTTCCTCAATCTCTCTCACCCGTCTCAGTGCATTTTTCTTCCTCATCTTCTCCGTCTGGGCAATCTAGGCTCTCCTAATTTGCAGAAATACGAAGATCAGTCTCCTGTAAGCGGTGCAATCTGGAAAATCTAGGCAAGTCCACAATGCCAAAATTGAATCCGAATCCGAGTCTAGTTATCGCCGGAAAAGATGGTGGTGTTTCTCGATGTGATTTTGTCGGTGTGTAAGTGAGAGAGGATGAACAAGAGATGGGTGAAAGGACAGAGATAGAAACGATGCCTATGGAATCCAAGGTCAATAAAGGTAATTGTTGAAGCTGTGAGTGAACAGCGTTGTGGAGGAGTCGACGAGGACGATCTCCTAATTGAAGTCGACGACGTCTGTAACATCCCACATCACCTAGGAAAATGATCCTTAAATGTATATTTTCATCCCTACCTAGCATGATGCCTTTTGGGAGCTCACTGGTTTCGGGTTCTGTAGGAACTCCGAAGTTAAGCGAGAAGGAGGCTAGAGCACTCCCAGGATGGCTGACCCATTGGGAAATTGCTTGTGAGTTCCCATAAACAAAACCGTGAGGGAATGGTAAGCCCAAAGCAGACAATATCGTGCTACGGTGGTGGAACGGGTCTGGGAAATGTAACATCCCACATCGCACAGGAGAGTGATCCTTAAATGTATATTCTCATCCCTACCTAGCATGAGGCCTTTTGGGAGCTCACTGGCTTCGGGTTCCGTAGGAACTCCGAAGTTAAGCGAGAATGAGGCTAGAGCACTTCCAGAATGGGTGACCCACTGGGAAATTGTTTGTGGGTTCCCAAAAACAAAACCGTAAGGGAATGGTAAGCCCAAAGCGGACAATATCGTGCTACAGTGGTGGAACGAGCTCGGAAAGTGGTCCGTCCCAGGCGGGGATGTGACAACGTCTTCCATTTGGTATTATGTGTACTTTATTTAATTGTTTAAGCCATTTTAGGTATTTAAAAGTTTAATTAAAGGACTCAACGACTCTTTCAAATTAGGTTTGCGCATAAGCTGTGGAAGCAAAAAAAGTCGGTTTTTCAAAGCTAGCTTTTGCTGCTTCTATTTTTTTTTGCTTTTTTTTACATAAAACTGTGGAAAAAAAAAACTAAAGTTGAAAGTTTACCAAACACAAAAAAGCTCCCAACTTTTTTTGATACTCCATTTTTTCAAAAGCACATAAGTACCAAATTCTGTAAGGATTTCAGGAATTCTTCAATCATGTATCATGCGATTAGTTTTCATCTACTATTATTTATATTCAATTTTAAATAAAAAAATTATAATACATGCAATTAGTTTTCATCTAATATTATTTATATTCAATTTTAAATACAAAAATTATAATAATTTTTGACAGCACAATACACAATGTATGCTTGACAGACTTTTAAACTAAACAATGTACGGTTCACAGATTTTTAAACTACCTCCTGGACGTTAGATTTTTTGGGGCACATTTTAGGATTTAATATCATTTTTAATAAGAAGCTTTAATACCATTTTTCGCCCTTTTTGCTTTTGTCTCGATTACACAATCAAATTATTCAATTTTTTTTTTTTGTCTCTATTACAATTTTTAGTTATTACATTTAGTAAACTTACTATTTAGTATAATTTTCTATCATATTTATTTGATTTAACTGAAATTGTCAAGTAAACCATTATATTGCCTATGGTTATTTTTGTCTACAATTTGTTACAAAAACCTTATCTTAAATTTCATGAAACCTCAATTAAATAAAAGCATTCGTTTTTGCACTCGGTTATAAGAAGATTACTGTAGATGTGTTGGTGTTTAACGGTAGTTTGGGAACATTTTCTTAGAAAATTTTAATTTTTTAACAATATTATTCCTAGCTCATTTATCGTTTGTTAAAAAAAAACAATATATAGATAAAGATGACGGATCTGTGACATCACTTTTTTACACAGCTTTTAATACATATTTTGTGAGGCCCACTTTGGAATGTACTCTAACAATTTGAACCCGTCTTTCTTGCAAAAAAAAAATAAAAAATTAGACAAATTCAAAACTGTTAAGACATTCATTTGTAGTGCAAAAAATTGACGAATACGATTTTACTAAAAACTCTAACCCCATTATTTAACAGTCAGATTTAATGATTTTTGGTAGACATGATTTTTGAGGGAATACATAAAAAGATAAACAGTTCACATCGTTGAAATATATTATGAAGTGAACCCCATAAAAACGTGTGCTAAAAATTCTGTAAAAAAATAGGGACATGAATCTGTCCCCATAGATAAAAATTGAGATGGCCTTAAATATGAGGTGGTGTTTAAGTTGACGCTCTCTCTTTTATTTGTTAGGAGGCCAACTTCTTTGTGCAACTTTTGTTTTATTGGGCTTGGGCCTAGGCCGAACGAATGTCTCCATTTTCTTTCTTAACAGGCCCAACAAATGTATTTACATCGAATTAAAGGATGGTAGCTAAAGTTGTAAACTTCAAAATATTAAAGCCTAGCACGTCCAGAGAGCAGAGGCTTAATTAATTTTATTTAATTAATGTAGTTTCAGCTTAATAACAAATCATCAATGTTCTAACAACGTTTACACAAGAAGTGGGAGCATAAAAAATATAGAACAATCATCATTCTTTTACAAGAACGTCACTAATTGCCCCGGGGTATTCGCTTCGGTATTTATACGGAGAAGAATGTGTATCCTGCTACAGGGATGATATACGAAGTTCGAAGTTCGATTTTCCGACACGCAAACAGATGGTGATGTTTAGTTACATTACTAACTTAAGCAGCAGCATCGTAGACGGAAATAATCACAACTCCATGCCTGATGTAGGATACGAGGAGGTGTTCGTTGATTTAACATAATGCAGTATACTTTTTCGACAGCTACTGAAGGAGGAAGCGTTCCCTTTGCGGTTTTATTCCCAATTTGAAGACGGGTTTTCTAGGCTATGTTGCTCTATCGAAACCACCACCAACCTGCATATGCAACCACTCGGGTGAATTGCCGCGGCTATATTCCCTTGGAAGCTGTGTACCGAAAGCCATTGAAGCAGCATCGAATGTTTGTTGACCGAACTGAAACAATGCAAATTGATCTGTTATGAGAATGGCAGTCCATAAAATAGAGGAATGAATCAAATCCCACCAACACATCTGTATTTTTCATCTTTTGTTTCTTAACTCATGGATTCCTATTTTGATAGACACGCGTAGCTTCCATCAGAGAGAAATGCGTGTGGGTCTCTACGAAGTTCTGATGAAAGAGTACGAATCTTCCCTCATTAAAACAGACAACGATGGATAACAACACAGACGCACAACCTCACACCAAGTAAAGAAGTACTCGAGGAACTTTTGATTGTCCTCTTGCTTCGGTTTTACTTTACCGATTTTCAAATAAGACTAAACATAGAACATCAGCTGACATGTACATGTTCAGCCTGATGAATTTCATGTGTGCAATAATACATGGCATATGGAAAAAAGTTGCAATAAGAAAACAAGAAGGTACTATATAACGAAGCGTTCGAAGAAAGAAAAAAGCGAGGTGAAAGTGATTCTAAACTCCAACAACTGCACATAATCTTATGGACTTACCTCTTTACAAGGAAACGCCTCAATGCCGGGGTTCATTCTTGTATTAACTGCTTCAAGCTTCATCGACAGGAACTGCAACATCCCAAAGATTGATAGTGCTCGAGCGTAAGTTTACATGTTGAAAAATTCATCGTAAAAATGAACAACTGCAAGATTCATACCTCAACCTGACGCTGTAGCGATTGGACGTAATTAATTATCTCATCAAGCACCAGTGCTTTTCCAATAACCTGAATCAGATAACATACCCTAATCAGCAGTTTTCTACCATGTTAATCCAAGGCTCAAATAAACTCAATGGTACTGATGCAGACTAGGAGATAAATTTACGCAAAAACACGAAAAAATTCAACTCAGTAAAAAATAAAAATCGGAAAAAAAAAATCCGTGAGGTGATTTCTAACACATTGAGATGCAACTGGGTATTGACTACTAGATGAATATATGAAAAGTATGGGCATACCATACCGTACCTTATTACAACCAGGGACCAGATCCTGGAGAATTTTCATCCTCTCGCTTATCTTCTCTCTTCTAGCCTGTCCACCACATATTTCCAAATTTTCATTCAGTATTTATCATTTAATAGCTCAAGAAGATTGTTCGAAAATTCATAAAAAATCAACGATGATGTTATGTGAACAAAAGATAATTATTATTATGGATTATACGTGCTTGATTCGTGTCCCGTTTCTCGAATTATATCCCTTACTATAAGGTAGCTGAAAATAACAGCACTAGAGTTCAATCTTCGGCCTGTAAATTAGAGTAGTTTAAAATATCGTTCGAAAATAAAGGACGTAGGACAATTGACGTAAATTACTCTTTCTGCAAGACTGTGGCTATCAGTAGCTTGGCCCCTTCTAGCTCGGACATGTATGTAGTCCTGCTTAGGCGGATCAGGCGGCTGAGCATTTTGCTCCGCCGGCTTGCATGAACTGGTTTCCGCTTCGGCTTTCGACTCACGGGCACTCTCATCTCTGCATCTAGTCGATGCTTTAAGCCGTTTCCCATCACAATCCCTCTGCCAAAACAAAATTTGGACCAAAAATATACAGATTTAGAAATTGTTCAATTAAAGAAATGGCCTATTTCCAATCACAGATGTGCAGATTTAGAAGTTTCAAATAAATCATTAGAAATTTCGAAGAAAATCACTATGAACAAACAGCAAACAGAAATAGTTTGCTATAATTAGCAAAAAGCTAATCCGAGTTTAAGCAATTAAACAATTGAATTATATATTGAATGAAGGAAAAATATAAATACCGCGCCAATATTGCCACTGCTTTTGGGAGACTCGGCGTCGGCGTTGGCGTCGCGCCTTTTTCTAGAGGCACCGCCATGTCCGCCGCCGTGGTTGCCTAGGTGGTCCAAACTCATCGTATTCGGATCACTATCGGCCAAGACGTCCCGAATCGAGCCCGAGACGTCCCCAAACTGCGCGAAACTCTGCGAGAAGTTCGGCCTCCGCAGCCCCAACGCTCCTACGGAATCTCCGGCGCTCGCGCCGCTTCCGTTCATCGCGAACTGCCAGATCTCCGGGAGATCAAACGACGTCGCATTGGCGTTAGGGAACGAGCACTGGTTGACGAGCGTCGGCGGATCCATTTTCACACTCCGATACGGTTCAAGTTCGGGTTTGGATTCGGATTAACGTTCGCATTCGCGGGATTCAAATAGTAAGCTCAAACAAATCTCAAAATCGAATGGGATGTCGCAATAAGTAGAGAGAGAAAGCGGAGAGAGATGTAGAGAGAGAAAGTGTTTGGTGCTGTGCGTGATCTCCTTGGACAGTGGAGAGGTGCGCACTGCGCCTACTGCGTACTGGGGAGTTTTACTCTTTCTTTTCTCTTTCCACTGCGCCTCTCCTCCTCTCCCTCCACGCAAAGAACTTGTTTTTTCATCGACAGCAGCCTCGGGAGCTGCGAAACGAAGTCGCTTACAGTGAGAGCTTTTCTCGCAGGCTCCAGCGTTTCTCTGTCCCTTTCTTCTCTCTCACTATTCTTTATGTAGACCTTCACTTCCCTTCTCCACCGTCCGATCAAAGTGCAATCCCAGTCAATCACACTAACGGTGGGGAGACATTTTGGAGCAATAATCATACGGTCACGTACCCGAATGCATTGTCTTACTGTTGATACTACAATGCCACGTACTCATTGAAACGGAACATCACAATGACGATGAATTTTAAGTTGTCTCTTGTTAGGTTGTTAGTCATGTATTACAATAGAAATGGACGACGAAATTATATGTCACTAATCTATGTATTCAAGGTGAGGGATTTTAGTACAAAAGTACGATAAAAACGGAGCATCACAGTAACCTTCTTAGTAAATCTTGTAGTGTGTTTTTATTTTCAATAATATTTGTAGTGTTATAATCTGTTTATTCGTTCGTTGTTGTGTTTACTCTGATTTTCAACTTGGAGTCAAGCTCCAATTTTCTCGGGCTACCTCCGAGTACAGGTTCAATGTAGTCTCTTGTTTGAGGTATCGAGTCACGTAGATTAGGCTTGTTTAATGCTTGATTAACGTAGCTTATTATATCCTAAAAGGTGGGTTAGTGGGTTTTCTATGGTTTAATCATTGTTATGATTATGATGTGTGTTAAAGGTGTAATTAATATTAAAGAATTGACTAATCTATAATTTTAGATTTGGTTAGAGGATAATTGGACCAATTTTGGAAGCTTGGACAGCATGGAGGCCCAGTCTTCACTGGCCTATCACCACCATCACTGTTTCCCAAAATGGAAATATAGTTCTTAAAAAAATAAAATTAGATGCTTTTTTTTTTATAATTAATCTCGAATTCAATCTTTAACCAAATATTTACATCAGGAATATCCAAATATCCAATCACAATATTTGATGTAATTGTTTAGTTGTTTTAAATGATAGACGAAGGTAGAATTTGAACATAAGAATTTTCTTCAATATCATAAAAATTATGCGTCTCTAAATCAAACGTCCATTTGTGAAGTGTGTCACATATTTTAACCAAATGATGTTCCATATTTACCAATTATATACTATAAAACACTTATTAATAATGAGCTTTTGGAAATGCTTCAAGTGTTTTATGACGATTAACAACATTTATTATCATATTTGACAACAAAATTTAAAAGCGTTTCAGGTTAAAATTTTCAATTTTTCCTATAAAAATTATCATATTATAATAACTTATGAGCCAAACATCCCAATTTATCTCAATCGGGTTGAAATTCTATTCCAAACCAACTTTCACAGAGAATTTACCTCTCTAGAGGAAAATAATCAGTAACAGTGACTTTAGCACTTACCGAAAAAGCTTCGCATTTGCTTTGACTGAAAAAAATATCCCTTGTATGCATGATCATGTATAAGGTGCATGCATGCACCTGGTGATCTTAACCGTTGATGCATGCAACTCATAATTTATTAGTATTGATATTTAAGATCTGTTTTTGCATATGTAGATGACAATCAACATCAATCCTTGCACACACAGGCAACTAATGGTAGTATTCTTTTATCCAAATTAAGTATTTGAAATAAAAAACAAGAGGCTTCGAAAAGGCTATTGTACACATGAGTACCCATAAACAACCGTCATAAGGTCAGTCTTGCATGCTTGTGAGTTGATATTGGCCGTTTATGCATATGAAACTCACAATGCATCAACGACCAAAATCAATGTGTGCATGATAAACTGTAGCATAAGTAAAAGCGTGAATTTGAAGTTAGTTATTTGGTTGTATTACACGTACTTATCATTTAACAACTCTTCGATAAAGCAAAAACTGTAGTACAAAGGTTGTGTCATTGGCCTGACCTAGTTTGGTACATGCAATACTCATTTGTCAAAACTCATCGGACAGTATTGATGGTTATGAGATTGCGTCGAGTACAAGTCGTGCCAAACCTTTGCCTCTTTCCACTGCCAGTTCTGGTTAGGCACACACAGTGGCCGGAAAGGATATGCTGCCCTTGCTCCAAATAAACACACCTTGGATCAAGAAATTCAACTCGTGCAGTTAATCTATTTCATCACGTGTGCTGATTGCGATACTGGTCCTTTTTTGTCGTCTGTGTTCAATCCGATGCGATTGATATAGCTACCAGCAAAGCCAAGGGAAAAAAAAGCTTGGTGGCTCTGCCTTTCTAAAGATTAAATGTACTTCTGTGTCGTCATCATCGTTGATATTGATATTTCGACACGCTGAATTAACATTTACAACTTTACGTTTGGATTTGTTATGAGTGTAATGTTGAGATTGATTGATCGGGAAGGTTTTACTCTCATATTATGTGGCATGCATGATTGTTCTTCATATCGATGTCTCATAAAGGAGGAGGGGGAGGGCGTCAGGTAGTCGACAGCCGGCACTCCATGATCACGTCGAATCCTTATGATTCGCTTCTTTTTGAAAACCGAAAGACAGAAGTTTACTGTTACATCAAGGAATTAATTCAATTCGGCCTGCCATGTGGGAAAAATACTATCAGAGGGTAAGGAATCACCACGCCATTTTATGCCAGATGATTGTGTACTCTGGAGTTTCTGTCGACTTTTTTTTCTCTTTCGGGTGGATGTAGCAGTTTTATACAGTAACTAGACAGATGGTTGGCACCATATGATGTCATACTATTCTCAAATAGTGAGCAAAATAAATCATGTTGGGATAAGAGAACTTTCTCTGTATGCGTTTGGTCGACTTCATTTGAACTATCTAACGAGTCAATACTCAATCTCAGCTTTGTTGTAATCTAAATTCAAATTTCATAAACGATAATTGTAAATAAAAAATAATAAATAATAAAACTCTTGATAAAAATATGCAAACGAATATCAATTTCTATGTAACTAGGTGATCGTTTAAAGATAACATACCAATTAACGACTGATCAAGTAATTCGGACTTTTAAAATTTTATCTAACGGTAAAAAATTATTATAACTTTTAATGAATCAAAACAGGTGGGCCGTTAAATGAAATTTCAAAAACTCTGATTACTTGATCCAATGATTTTGGTGGAAAATATCCGGAAAATATATTTTTTCCGATAATTGAAGTGTTTGATAAGTGTAGATGTCAGAACAATTTTATGGAATTAAATTTAATCTGATCTGCCCCAATGGTTGGTCCCTACTTAATAATGGCATGGATTTAAATATCGAAAATATCGGCGATATTTTCGTTTTTTTGACTTACCGATATTTTAAGGAGTATCCAATGAGTTTTCGTCAAAATATCGCAATAGTATCGATAATATCGCGATATTTATCGATATTTCTTATAATATCGCGATATTAGCTAAAATATCGCGATATTAGTCCAAAAATTCCTTAAAATTTGGAAAAGAATCGGTTTTGAGCATAAAGGGGTTCGAACCCCTCCCACTTAACTTCTTAATGCCTTAACCACTGTACCACTTATGTTGTTATGATAATAAGCTACAATATTTATATATATGGTTTATTTTTACAAGAAACAAATTTGCACATATTCCAAATTTTTTGTGGTATTATATTTTAAATTGTGTCAATTAATTACTTAGTCAATGACAAGTGGTTTTTAATTTTTCTATTTTTTATTTGGTCAAGGGCTGAAAAAAATTCCGGAAAATCCCAAACCAAACCGAAAAAGTCCCAAACCCAAACCGAAAAATCCCAAACCAAAACCATCATGAAGTTCGGGAATCCCATCCCGAAAAATACCGAAATTTTCGATATGGGATTGGTTTCCAAATCCCATTTGTTTGGTAATCCCGAAAAATACCGAAGTATTCGGTTTCCTATTGACTTTTGGGTTTTGGTTCTTGAAAACCATTGCTATAGTTGGTAACTACTCTTCAAAATACACTCACTCTACACATAGAGATGATGAAGATAGTGAAAATTTTGAACCTCATAGGAACTCTATGTGGTACTAAGCCACTCATGTCACAGCCCGTCCCAAAGTTTTACACTCGTGATTGTAAATTGACGGAATTTCCCTTAAACGTGATTAAGATATGTGAATCATATATTGGTGAAATATATGTTCCTAAGTTATTTGGAGATGGAATTTTGTGATTTGGGGTTAGGTAGGACCACACACCTCAAATCCCTCCCTATTTCCCGTACCCTGTCTCTCTCTCTCCTCCCTCACAATCTCTCATTCTCTGTCTCTCTCCCTCTCCTTCGAACTCACACGGACCACCACCAAAACCACCCTAAATCTATACCAACGTCAAGTTTGAGACCACCATTGGAATCCTGAGGACTTCACGATCACGTTGGTATCCATTTCAGGTAAGTTTTACTTCGGAAAACCTAGATTCTAAACTCCCCATGAAAGTGTACTGTTCATGAGCTTTGAATTGGTTGATTTTTAGGACAATCCAAGCTCACAGCGAGCTTAGTGAGGTCCCAAGGAAGCTCGGAGTGCTTCGTTGGAAGTTTTTGGACGTAAGAACACGGAGATCGACAAGTTCAAAATTTGGCCGGAGCTTTCGAGGCGTTTTCCGGCGAATCCCCGGCGAGTTAGAAGTCGAGATAGGTATCAATCTCTTCGTCTCGTCAAGTACTACAACTTTACTTTTTGTTTCACTCAATTTCGTTGAGTATTGAAGAAGTTATACTCATTTGAAAAATACCCAGTTTCCGGCGACCTCCGAGGCTTTCGAGGCAGTTTCCGGCCAAACCAAGGCGAATTAGGTGTTGTGCAAGGTACCATTCTCTTTGTCTCTTCAAGGGCTACAACTTTCGTTTTTGAATCACTTGATTTCGTTGAGAAATGACAAAGTTATAGCAATTTGAAAAACTGCCCGGAAAACGGCCGCCGGAAAAACCAGTCCGGCGACCCAAGGAAGAAGAAGGTGCTACAGTAAAAATAAAAAATAAAAATAAAATTATTTTAAAAATATGTCGACGTTCGTGACGTCGAGTAGATCACTGTGGTATATTCATATACCTAAATTGAACACCGTATGAGAAAGTTATTGAGGATTGTTGGTTAGGTGT